CCACCAAACCTGTCGGTAAATAGAAACAATATTGACTGGATGGTACGTTGTATTGATTAAGATTATAGTTGCCCTTTATTAAAGGTTACGGATTTATAAAATAATCCTTGTTTTCACATGACCCAAAACCACACGCATGATAGAACAGCCACATGGATAGCTACGTCAAACACAAAAACTACTTTCATAGCTATAAGAAACACATAACAAATAACTGCATACACAATCACACGCAATAACCACATATAATACAGCAACCGGACTTCTAACAACGTCAAACAACTAAACCACATAAACTGTCACATGTAACACAAACATACACACCCAACTACATACAGTATCACATGAATTTACCTCATACCTGTCCAAAAAGCCACATCTAATACAACAAAGACATATCCAGCAACACACATTTTTAATTACCCAACCACACACCCAGCAATAACGAAATTCACAACCACACACAAAGCCACATGTAGCAGCCACATTCTGATCACAACAGCAACATTTTACACAAAAAACATACACAGTTACAAGTACCCAACCACACACCAAGCAATATCGAAACTCACAACCACATACATAACAACATGTAGCAGCCATATTCTAATCACTGCAGCCACACCTAACTCAAAAAACAGACACCAAGCAACATCGCACAGCAAAATCACATCCAGAGGCACACGTAGCAATCACATACCCCTCTCAGGAGTCTCTTCTAACATAACAAACCATCGAAAACCATAACCACACACATAACCACATGCACCAACCACATACCAGTCCCAGCAGCCACATCTAAGACGAGCGCCCCCTCCCTCCTGTCTTGTACCATGGCCGCCGCCATATCGGCACAGTACTGTGGACCCCTGTAGGCGAGGGCCACTGTAGACACGGCGTAGTGTTTGACTGCATCGTCTTTGTCGTAGGCTGCACAGGGTTAACAAAATATACCGACATTTAATTTAATCTATGCGCTTTAGAGTTAAAGAAAAATAACAACATTACGTTAACTGGATTTAATTGTGAGATTTAGTGTTAACGAAATATACTGATGCTACATTAAATATATTTAAAAAGTGAGTTATATATTAGATGCATCTAAAGAGTTATGGGGTTATTAAAATGCAAAATTACAACACAAAATTCTTTATAGAGATATGCTTCCTTAATATTAATTGTTCATAAAAATAAAAGTATTTAAAAAAGTGTAAACTAAAAATAAAAAAAAATAGTTTTTCGATGAAGTAGAATTTTAAAAAAAATGCGTTCCGGTATTGCAGAATGTCATCCTTATTGATTTTAGTGAATACATATTTATCAACTTCTACTATAAGCAGTCATAAAAATACTCAAATGATGTTATGCAGAAGTTGGTATGTAATAGTCAATTCTTCGCAACTGTATTGTGTTTAGCACTGAATATTCTCAATGCTGTAATAAATAAACGCAATTATTATTGCATTCAAGTGGTATTAGTCTTTCCTTTATTCTTGAATCCCAATTGAAATATCAGTTGTACTACGTTTTATACTATAAAAATTATTTTTTCTCTTTTTCATTTGATGTTTTTATAAACAAAACGATTCAATGATTTTTATGTTTTGTTTTTTATAATTTCGAAAAATCTGCAATCAATTTTTGTGAGGTGTAGTTTAACTTTTGTTTATAGAATATTTTACAGTCCTTATAGTTAACAGTAACCAAACTCCCAGGTAAACTCAAACCTTTACTGATTTGCATTGTTGTTTACATACCTTCCACGCATGCGTCCTGACCTAATCCGGGCTCCTGAAAACCGAGTACAAAATTATCAAACTCCAACAGCTTGTTCAACGACTGCCCGTTGTCCATCTGGAAGAAAATAGTTGATGGAGGTTAAACGTGTTAGATAGCTAACAATCGATATGACAAAATCAGGATTGGCTGTCAAATATATATATATATATATATATTGTTATATACAGCTCACACCAGTAATTAGTCATAGGATATAATCTATATATATAATTCTCCTCTTCGAGCCGTTAGAAAACAAGCTGCAAACGATCTCCCTACCTCCCCACCCCTACATGGTTTTAGTGAGTTGTGTTCACTCTAAATGTTTACAAGCAGAGCCAAAGATTTTTAACGTAGGGGGGGGGGGGGGGGGAGGAAGGGGGGGGTATGGTCCTTAACGAGCTACTTATAGTGTTTTAAAGAAATATTTTCAGTGTCAGCGTTGGTACTGTCGAATTCACAAATTATGAATTATTGAAAATTAGAAACAACTAAATAGCGGCGTATGTTATGCCGCGGGCCGGCTCGTATATATAATTATATATCCTTTGACTAATAACCAGTACCGTAGTGAGGGGGGGGAAATATGTCCCCGGGCGCCGACCTTAGGGGGCGCCAAAATGGGTTGGAAAAATAAATTGAAAGGATGAGGGGGGTGCAAATTGAAAGTTTGAGGGGGGGGGGGTGCAAATCGAAATCTCGAGGGGGGGGGGGGTGCAAATCGAAAACTTTGTCCCCGGGCGCCGGGAAGGGTCGCTACGCCTCTGCTAATAACCGGTGTGAGCTCTATATAAAAAAATCTTTGATTTAAAAATATAATTCATGTCGTTTAAAATCCTGTTTATAATATTATATATAAATTAAGGTGCGGGTTCCAAATTTCATCCTTGATATATATATATATATATATATATATATATATATATATATATATATATATATATATATATATATATAAATGAATTAGTGGTATTATAAACAGATAGTGATCGTTCTTATACTCTCTTTTTATTTTAAATTGTTTTGTCAATTTACATTTTTCAAAATACCGACACAATCAACTATTATAATTTTCTATTAATAAAGGCCCTACTATTTAATGTTTGAAATTCATTAGAGAAGAATAATGTCTACGAATAAATATATTACAGATCTGTTAAAAACACTAATTAAAAAAACAACAATGCAGTTTATTTCGAATCATAGGTAGTTGATAAAAAATACGATTTAATAAATACAAAGTCTGTATACCTTTATTTCCCGATTCTCTTGATCAGAAATACTTGACAAGCTTTTGCGAGTTCCACCGGATCAAGTGGTTGTTTAACAACAGGACTTGAAAGTTATAAGTAGTTGGTTACCAAGTTCTCGTTTTGGTTTGGCCTACTTGCCAGCTAACGTTGTTTTTTTTTTTCGAACCAAATGTGAATATTTTATTAAATCGGTAAAAAATAAATAAATAGAGAAGTTGCTTCCGTTGTTGTTATTTAAAATCGAAAATAAAGATAGACTACTAAATGAAGGGTGGCTTGAGAAAAAAAAGCCTACTTTAGATTATAATTTTTTTTCAGAAGCGTACAGCTTGTTATTAATCTATTCATTTGAATGCGTAACAAGTTGCCCTCAACGCCTTTACAATAATAATATAATAATAATATAACATTATTAATAGCTTGGCCTCCTGATACTTAAATTGCTTAGTTGTATTATTAGAAAATAATTGTATAGTCCGGTATTTGTATATTAAATGTATATAGGCCAACGTCTATAGGCTAAACGAAAGTGACCATATTAATACAAAATCACGAATAACCCAAGATTCTGTGACCAGAGATGTTAGATATTGTCAATTCACCTATTATTTTAATTTTGATGTAACCATTAATTTAATATAGGCTATTATTAGCCTAATAAATAATACTAAAGTAAATACTAAGAAATAAATATTAAAGTATGTAAGTCAAGTTAAAAATATAAACAAACCTTTTATTAATTTATTATTAATATTTTTATTTAGAAATAACAGTAATATTTCAATAAAACACCTACTAATAATTGAATCATACATTGAAAGTAACAGTTTTGAGTATACCTACTTTTATTGTAATGAGCCACTGAAACAAACCAACTTATACTTTTAAAGGATTTGTCAACTATGCGCTACTAGCAAATTTAAATATATATATATATATATATATATATATATATATATATATATATATATATATATATATATATATATATATAATGGTATAGATAATAATAGTATCACAAATAAAACACAACAATATAATTAATTATCATTTTCTAAGATTATCGCTTTACAACTAACAAAATATGTGATTCTCCTTTTTTTACAATGCAATATTTAGGCCTAAACCATGACACAAGTTCAGTTACAGACAAGGATACTAAAGGTTTGCTATAGTTATTTAGGTATTTTATCCCATACATTACCACGATAAATATACGTTAGCAAGTTTAATTTAAAAATACCCAAATTATTAACTTACTGATACTTCTGGTGTATTACATGATAATTCTCACAATTCCCAAATCGATTGTTTTGAAACTCTATTTAAATGAATTTAGGGACAGTGTGTTCTTTTTAACTCTACAATTGATTTATTTATCAATGAAACAATCGCTTTAACATTTCTGGAGAGACACAACTGTATTAATCAATGGGGATAAATAATTCAGTCCAGGTGTACTTAAAGATTATTTACATCACAGACGACAGCAGTAGGTAGATAAACTGGTACATTCACGATATCATATACGTGCATTTATATAGGGGACTAATATTAGACCTTGCATGAGTCTCTCAACTATAAATAAAATTAACGGAATCTGGCTCATTGTGATTCCCTTTACCCATATTCTGCTAGCGTCCCACTTATGGGACGCTTGGTAAAAAAATTGCTAAAATTTATTAAATACTAGTTTAAACACAAATTATGTTTCATTGTATTTGAAAATGGCTAAACTATTGAATTTGTGTGTGTTTTGTGAAAACAATTAATTTAGAAAAATGTTATAGTGCCGGATTTGTAGGACCATTCAAAATGGCGGAAAAAAGAAAACATGCGCACAGGATAATGCATATCTTCTAAAATATTAACATTTTAAGTGCAAAATACATTTGAAACTTGTAGCAGTACCATATTTCTATCTGATAAAAATTTAAAAATAACAATTTTTTTTTACTACTTCGTTATATCAAGTGTACAACAAGCGTCCCATAAGTGGGACGCTAGCAACGAATGGCCCCATGTAGATTGTTACACAAACGTCACATTTATTGGACACTAGCAAGAAACACAGATGCAAATGTTTATGTTAAATGGTTATTTATGGTGAAACAATTGTTGACTTGGTTAACTGCTGAATTTGGGGTGTTAAGTAGTATGTATAGATATTTAATTATGACCTTGACCTATATTTATGCAGATTGTTACACAAACGTCACATTTATTGGACACTAGCGTGAAACACAGATGCAAATATTTATGTTAAATGGTTATTTATGGTGAAACAATTGTTGACTTTGTTAACTGTTGACTTTGGGGTGTTAAGTAGTATTTATAGATATTTAATTATGACCTTGAGCTATATTTTCTTATATATTATTGTATTAGAAAATTGCAAATATTGAAAAAAATTACATTTTATTTTTAAGTTTTCAGAATTACACTTACTGAAGTATTTAATACCATTGAATACAAACTAATTTAGTATTGCTGTAAATTTACTAGCGCGTGATATTAAAATTATAACAAACCAGAATAATAACAATGGCCACGATTTAGGTGAAATGATTCAGTCATGGGTGTTGGTTAACTCTCTTCATATAAGAGGGCTTAAGCTACATATAGCAGAAATGTGAATTAGCTGTGTACTGTTGTCATGCCCCAATAATATTCCCTTCCAAAGGTTCCCGATACCAGTTTTACTTTGTTAACTTTTAAGGAGATTCCTGGTGTTAGATTGGGAGCTGTTCGCATAGTGAGGTGCATACATGGATGAGAGCCATGAACACTCAATACAAGCCCCCAGAGACGGATCCGTGCCCTAGAAATAAGATGTCTGATGTCCTAATGTATGCCTGTGGGGGGGGGGGGATAGCGAGGGTAACAAAAGAGAAGATGGCTGGATGAAATCTGGGACTGGACCGGATCGTCTCTTACAAATTCACTAAGGGCAGAGTTTCTTTCAGGCATCATTTCAGTGGAGGGGGGGGGGCTCTGCCCCCAGAAGAAAATGGAATTTATATACAAAACATACTTTTACCAATGTCCACCCTTCCCATGAAATTTAAGTCCCCACCCCTGAAAATTTCAAGTACGCCGCCCAAAAAAATCAATTATTTATATTAAATTATATTACAGTTTCGATGAATAATAAAAATATTTGTGATCATGTGTGTATAATTAGATGTACTAGTCACAGCTTTACTTATTTCCAAGTGTTGTTCACTTTCATGGATGCTAGATTGAATGAAAACTAGACTTTTTTTACATAATTTCTGCATTTTAGACCATGGTATGGCTAACCCAATTGATCATTATCAGTATTTTTAGCTGTCCTAAACAATTAAATCATTGGTCTAATAATACACAATCAGTACACAGCTTAATTTTCGCGTGATTAGCCATATTTCGTGAAAAATGATTTTATTTTTCAATAAATGTACATGGGGCCGTTCGTTGCTAGCGTCCCATTTATGGGACGTTTTTTAAAAAATCGATATTTAAAAAAGTATTGATTAAAAAAAAAAATCCATAGTCATTCCTTCATTCAGTGCCCAAAAGCTAAACCATATCAAAAAATTATAAAAATTTGAGACCTTGGGATAATATGGGTTAACAAAACTAATAACACAGCTGATACTAACAATTTTAAAGACTAAAATGATCTTATTCGACTTTATTGATTACTTCAATGTGATCTATTTTTTCCCAACTTAAACCACCACTATAAGGAAAAAAAAATCCATATGCCTAGAATAACACATACAACCGTAATCGCTGTTAACCAACTCGACAACATTATCTCATTAATTGCTCATTAATTCCAAACGTGACAAGAACAGCTGCGTTTTGTCGTTGTGTTGACTTGTGCTCTTTGTAGTCCGGGGGTGATTAGCTCAGGTCAGGGCCTCTGGGGGAGATGTCAGTTTTGTTAAGTGACAAGGGCTTGCTGGGTGTGGGCAGGGGCTTGTTGGGCGTACACGGGGGCTTAGTAGGTGTGACAGGGTACTGATGGGTGTACACGGGGGCATGGGTGTGTGCATTACAGGCAAGTTGATGTGTATGAAGACGAGTAAAATAAAATCTAAATCGAATATCGAGAAAAAGATATAGATCTATTTTCGCACAAGCCTTAATTGTGGTAACAATTTAAACATTATTTTTTGATGTGTTTGTGATCACAATAGGTGATTTAAATTTTGTACTGATCGCAGGTTTAGCGATATACCGCTCTCTTGCTAACTTGACAGTCAGTAGTTGGGTACCCGTGCTTTAGACCTTCACTCGACTTAACTTTCGCTGATATCCAAACAAGTTGGTGTCGTGTGACGGTGGGTAACTCCCGTTAGTAACATGGGTGAGATGAAAGCTATTTTCTTCATGCTATTGTGGTCTGCGTGGCGTTTGAACATCGATTGACCAGTTATGCCCTATAGGAGAGAGAGAGAGAAAGAGAAAGAGACAAAGAGGGAGGAGGAGAGTGGGTATGTTGATAACTAGATCGGTCAGGTTAGGTGTTGTTCACGACAACGTTTTAAGAATCTGTTTAGAAAAGACAAGAGCAGATAACAGAACCACTCTTGCAGAACGGTTTTTTAATAAAGATATTCTCTAACTTGGTATGAAGACTTTACATGGTTTTCCTATTTTAATTTTAAATCAAGATATTCGAAAACAGCTTTTTAAAGCGTGTTGACTGCCTAACATATGGTTGGTTAACTATTTTACGTGGGTCGAAACATCTTGACCTAATTGATGCGGTTCAGGACTCACAACAACAGCCGCCGCCGCATATGATGTTTGTTTATGGTGTGAGCGTTCAGACATCCTTTACGTCAAGTGTCGTGAGTGATGCGCGTATGTGTGTGCTCGCGTACTTGAGTGCGCGCGTACATGTATGTATGGTGTAGTTCATCCTTTCAGCGAACAATGCATACGGTGCATTCTTAGTCTTCCAATCTGTAGCGTGCTGGGTATAGAATATACATTAGTCCATGTTTTAGGTTCAATTTGTGATGGCTAATCATTTTAATTAATTAATACTAAGACATCCTAGTAAAATAATCAATAGTAAAGACATACGTCTTTACAATGACATGTAAGACAGTTCCATCATACAATGTGTTTTCTTGGAGGCGAGCTGACACAAAAGTAACATGAAAACATTAATGGCTGATGTTTGTACATATGATTTGCGTTTGCTTTTTTAAACATAACCTAATTTACACATAATTACAATATTTGCACATTATTCAGATATTCGAGCATCATTCAAATATTCACACATCCTTCCAATATTCACACACCATGGAAATATTCATACATCATTTCAAATACATTCACACATGTTTTACTTTTATTTTACACATCATTAACACATCATTCATACATCATCAATCACCCGCAACTTACATACTCCCCTCTTTCACAAAGGTGCTGACATTTTTTTTTCACACACTACAGATAATATAAACACAATGTGGCATCCCACACATCATTTCAACATTATACAAAACAATTGACTAGTTATATTTTAGCTCATTTCAACATTATAGTAAACAATTGACTAGTGTTATTTAAGCTCATTTCAACATTATACAAAACAATTGACTAGTTATATTTTAGCTCATTTCAACATTATAATAAACAATTGACTAGTGTTTTTAAGCTTGATTTAAACATACAAAACTATTGGCTAGTTATATTTTAGCGCTTAATTTCAACATTATACAAAACAATTGAGAAGTTTTATGTTAGCTTCATTTCAATATTATTAAAAAAAAAACTAACTATATTTTAGCTTCATTTCAACATTATACAAAACAAATTTAACTAGTTTTTTTTTGATGAGCAGCCTAATAGACGCAAATCTACAGTTGACAATGTTAAGAAGCGTCATTCACAAAAAAGCCCATTTCTAAACGTGTCCGTAATGTAAACGATGTTCATCAAAACATCGTATTGTGTCGCCGTCTGTAGGCTATAGGATTTAATTGTAAACAGGTCAAGTCCATCGAGATTAAAACGTAGGGATTTACTGACGAAGATAAAAGGGGAGTGCACGCTCAACCGTGAGACGTCATTCCTGACCACCTACTCGCCCTGCGGAAATCCTAGTTGAAGTACGAAAATAACTCACGGTATCACTCCCCCCCCCCACCCAACATACCTCAAACAAATCAGATTTGGTAGAAATACTAACCCATAGTTTCCGTTGTAGACGATTTGTCTCAGCTCTGTGTAATCAAATATGTCAGATAATAGATTGGGTCTATGTATAACTAGAGAGGAGGGGGGTGAAATTTTAAAGAAGATTCCATAAAAAAAAAATTCATAAAAAACGTTTTAATAACAAGCTTTTATGTAATGATGCACTAAAAAGTAGAAAATAAATTATAGACTACTATTTAAATAACTATAAAGAAAAGCGTGGGTCACTTTAGTATCTATTGGATACCTTTACTAATGTTAAGGAAGACACCCACGCTTTTCTTTATAGTTATTTAAATAGTAGTCTATAATTTATTTTCTACTTTTTAGTGCATCATTACATAAAAGCTTGTTAGTAAAACGTTTTTTATGAATTGTTTTTTCAGTACTTTACATGTTTTATCTACAATAGAGTTACATGACTAAAAACCATTGCGCGCCTACTGAATATCACGTTCAGTAGGCGCGCAATGGTTTTTGAACGCAGCCATTACGTGGTCTTGATGGCGCAGCTATTGATGACGCGTGTGGTGTGGTTGGCTAGACATGCCTACTAATTCGGTCCAAATTTTAATTAATTCATAAAAAATCAATTAGGCATCCAATTAAGTCAAATTTAGTTTCAGATTGCATTGTCTTCATGTCTTGACCCACGTGCCAACTGTGAATCGTGTCGGTCAAGTAGAACTGTCCGAATTTTCACTCCTGCGTTTCCGTCTAGACTGACGACAGACTGACGAGGAAGTGAGTTAAATAAAAGCTTGTAAAAATAGTATTTTATTCTATTTGTTAGTGATTTTTGTTTGTACGATTCTTTTACTTAAGCACATATTGAACGAGATGTTCGTGACTTAAAATGAATGTAAAAATGTTTTTTGCATATATTTTTCGTCTAGAGTTGGGGGCGTTCGAAAAGAATTTCACCACAGATTTTTAAAAAAATGGCATTTTGGCTGAGATCCCCAATTGGACAATAAACCAACAACACTGAGAGACAGGGCCAAGTGGCCAAATGATACAGAGTCAGAACTTTGCTAGGGCGGGCCATTTAGGCCCCCACAACCCCAGCAACAACACGGGTTGGCAGCACTTCAGGGACAGCAATCACTGCCACGGCAACCCGCATTACCAAGACAACCAGTCTACAAGCGGTGACGTCAACCAGGACGGTCTTGTTCAACCCGGATGTGGCTGCTCCTGTGAGCAATGATACATATTAGCAGTCGTATATTTAACTTCTAGCATAAACTCCAGCCATGTATCTCAATGCTACTATAAATAGTGGTCATATATCTCTACTATAGAATGCAGTGATCGAGGCACTATGTTTGTTTCACATATACTATATTGGCCGTCAAAAAAATGCACCAATATATGCTTGCTTTGTGTGTGTGTACAAGTATGACTATTACTGTACTCGTTTTATGATCAAACATATTATAGCATGCCTCTGCTTAACTTGTAAAGGTAAATTATATATAATTTATATATATATATATATATATATATATATATATATATATATATATATATATATATATATATATATATATATATATATATATATATATATATATATATATGTATATATATATATGTGTGTGTGTGTGTGCGAGTGTGTCCTGTATACATTATACTTCTAAACAATGCTTATCAACATACCCTTCATTCTTTCAGCTGATCTGTAGAAATGAACCATGGCTTGCCTGCTCTCTTTATATTTTGCAGATTATCTGGATTGTTTTACATACGCATTTACATTCTTATGTGATCTCTCATGAACTATTACTTTTGAATTGAATAAATTGAAAATACGCAAAAATATAGTAAATATAGGCCTATTTCATCTATAGTTTAAATTCTTTTAAACGCATTGTATGTAATTTATTTATAATACATTTTGGTATTTAATTTGCGATTTTAAATTTTAAATTTAGAATTTATTTATTTTATTTTTTAAAAGAATAATTTAAAATTATAGATATTAAATAAAAAGCAAAACATTTAAAAACAGAAGTAGTGCTCGCAACTCAACAGGAAAAAAATTGACATTCATTGAATGCTATAATTTACTTAGTTATTTTTAGGGGAAGCGCCAATTTGCATCGAAAGACCAAAGAGTCATCACGAGTTATCATCCCAAAAGCTCAGTTCAACCATTTTACTCTGCACTGCCATGCCCAGGGGACACCATAACTACTTGTAAAGTACATTATTGTTTCCCTTAGCAAGAATTTTACAGTATTGTCTCCCTTGAAGCTACTTTATTGTATTGTTACGCGTGAGTTCCTCAACGGCAATACATCGGCTCACGGACCTTCTCTAGCAGGTAGTGTAGCTCAACTTTGGCTATCTTGACCCCTAACTCGAACACCTCCCTACGATTGTTGGAGGTATGAAGTTTCCGTCATAACAAATCACATAAATAAGATTTTAAAAAATTGATACAACATATGAAACTATAATTAAAAATAAGTAATTTTTTAATTGATTGTTGTGAAAATTTATTCTCTGCAAATCATGACACAAAACTCCCTAGCTAGAAGTCGCCTTATAGCCTCTTACTTTTGTAAAAAAAACAATTTACTTAAAATTTAACTGAACTGGATCAACATTAATTATTTTGACACAAGATTATTAAAATATTCAAAAAGTTTTAAAACAACATAGAACAGCTGCTAATATTAGGTTGAATCTTTACAAATACAAATACAAACCTGGACCATAAGGCTTTTTTAATTACAATGCCCCCCCCATCCCCGCGTCTGTCACTCATCATAAACCCCCCCACCCACCCCCGTTACTTATCATTTCGGTAATCATATTTACGAATGACTCCTACATGGTACCCAAGTACAACCTTTTGTGTGTCTGTAATAATACCATTTTGGAAAAAAACTCGCTTTTCTTTTATTTGACATGATTTCGTCTCAAAATCGAAACATATTTGTAAAATGAACAGTAATTTACATTGCAATTAAAATGTCAAACGTATATTTGTATTAAACATACACTTGCTAATTAACTTGATAAATATCGACGAATCCATCGGAAAACACGTGATACTTCCGGAAATTCAACCGACCGTACAGCTTCCATTTTCCCGTTTTTTCCAGCCGTGCAGCCTCTGCTAGCCATTCTTTCCCGTACTCGATGTCTTGTATAGTAGCCCTGTAGCAGTTTATGAAGTACCTGTATATTCAACAATTCATAGCTTATAATACGTAACAAAATGAATGGTAGTTTAAAAAGCACACACACACACACACACACACACACACACACACACACACACACACACACACACACACACACACACACACACACACACACACACACACATATATATATATATATATATGTATATATATGTATGTATATATATATATATATATATATATATATATATATATATATATATATATATATATATATATATATATATATATATATATATATATATATAATATACATACATATATATATATATATATATATATATATATATATACATATATATATATATATATATATATATATATATATATATATATATATATATATATATATATATATATATATATATATATATGTACATATATCGGAGATAATTAAAAATCTTCTGACCCTCCAGGTTTGATAACTCTGACAAACTCTTGCATAGAACTTGGAGGTAAATGGTTTTCGATGGTTGCTCCACTCATCGCCACCACATCATACGTGGCTGGAATAGGGGAGTTAATCATGTTATTTTACATAGTAACACAGAAATATATGATACTGTCCCTTTTCTGTTTGTGAGTCATTATTGCTTTGCTATTCTGGTAGTAGAAAGACTTAAACTTATTTAGCATATAACTATTGGCCTAATATTGGTTATTAGCGAGAAGGATAAAAGATATAGGCTAAAAAATTCTACTTTAAGGAATATCTGCCCTGATATGATATGCCATGAAACGAGTCTTTTTAGGGCATATCATATCAGGGCAGATGTTTTTCAATGAAAAAAATGCCCTGATTTATATAATATGGCTTGTATGATATGCCGTGATATGATTTGCCCTGATATTATATTCCCTCATATTATGATCCGCTCTTATATGATATGCCATAATATAATATGCCCTGATATGATCTGTCGTGATATGCTCTGCCTTGAATTAAAAATAATATCCCCTTATATGTTATTTCCTAATATAATCTGTTGGGGCAAGATCTGCCCTGATATAATAATGCCCTAATATAATCCGCCCTGATATAATCTGCCCTGATATAATCTGCCTTGATATAAAATGCCCTGTTATGATCTGCCCTGGTATAATATCAGATATTGTATGTCCTGATATTATCTGTTCTGATATGATCTGCCCTAATATAATCTGCCTTCATAGAGAAAACCCTTAATATAATTTATCGGTCTCACAGCGGAGCTAACCGCTAAAAGATCTGTAGGGGATTAGCTGCAAAAAACCGCATCTAAACGTTTGAAGAGTTAAACTTTTTAGAACGGAAATCAAAACATTGGCAAATAAACCGGGAGTGATCTCCCCAAAACTTTCTCGAATATTCTTATACAAAATAACAGGGGATGGGAACTCGGGCTATAGACATGATTTTTAATCCATTTTAAACACTTAAAGTTTTTAAAATACAAATAAAATCTCGTAGACAAATTAATTGCACACCAAGTGAACGCCAAATAAAAAAGCGCATAATAGTGCGCAATATTATTAGTACTTTTAAAATTTACATTAGTTTTTTGAGAAATCGGAAGTAGCGTAAATTACTACTTCCGGTCAACGGAAATTACTCAAAATTTAACAGAAGGTAGAGAATGAGACGTTTTACTTACATATGAAATTTTATTTATCTATCTGAAATAGTACTCAAGTTATAGGCTTTTTAAAAATTCAAAGTAGGAAAAGTACCACGATTTTGATAAAATACTTATATATGAAATTTCATCAACCTAGCTATAACGGTACTCAAGTTATCGTGTTTACACACGGACACACAGACAGACAGACAGACAGACAGACACACAGACAAACGGACAAGATTGCAAAATTATGTTTTTCCGTATCAGTGAGGTGTAAAACGTCGAGATTTGTAAAAATCTCTAATTTTTTTTGCACGATTAAAAGACTTTCTCTATACTTCGTATATACGAGAAAGTAAAAATGTGAATTAATTCAGTATATAGAGCATTTTTTTTTCGGCTAAATTTTTCTTATCATTATCTTACCATTGGCGATAGGCATTTGTTTTCCTTCTAACAAGATGCATTGGATGAAATCAGAGTAGACTCCCTTTTGTTTACATGTCTCCAACATTTGGGACGCCCCGTCGAGAGCGTGGATGTTTTTAAATCCGTGTTTGTGTAGCTCCTCCCCCACTAAACCTGTCGGTAAATAAAAGTTATGTTGACTATACGGTACGTTGTATTGATTAAGATTGTAGTTGTTCTTAATTAAAATGTTACGGCTTTAATATAAGTCAGTGAGTAAAAATAATCCATGTTTTTACATGACCCAAAAGCCACACACTTGATAGAACAACTACATGGATAGCTACACTTAACACAAAAACCACTTAGACAGTTAAAAGGGACACATACCAACTACATATACAACCACACTTTAAACAATGTCGAACACCTGAACCACATAAACTGGCATATGTAACACAACCTCACACACCCAGCCACATGAAACACCAACATACAGTACAAAATGAAATTACAACATGCCTGTCGAAAAAGCCACATTTAATTTAAGAAAGACATATTCAGCAATTTCTAACACAAAAACTTTTAACACAAACAGAAAACCCCAGCTGCATGAAACTCCTACATACAGAACCACATGAAGTTACCTCATACCTGTCCAAAAAGCCCCATCTAATACAACAAAGACATATCCAGCAACACACACAGTTAAAAGTACCCAAAAACACACCCAGCAACATCGAACACCCACAACCACATACAAAACCACATGCAACATCTACATACTGATCCCAGCAGCAACACCTAACACGAAAACCACATAATCCGTTTCAAGTAACCAACCCAACCACATATCTAGCAACATAAAACACTACAACCACATATATAACCACAGGCAACAACCACATACCGGTCCCATGAGCCATATCCAACATAACAAGCACATATACACATACACAATAAAAAGTAACAACACGTATCCATCCACAACCAATCAACATCGAAAACCAAAACCATACACATAACCACATGCACCAACCACATACCAGTCCCAGCAGCCACATCTAAGACAAGCGCCCCCTCCCTCCTGTCTTGTACCATGGCCGCCGCCATATCGGCACAGTACTGTGGACCCCTGTAGGCGAGGGCCACTGTAGACACGGCGTAGTGTTTGACTGCGTCGTCTTTGTCGTAGGCTGCAAAGGGTTAACAAAATATACCGACATTTCATTCAATCTATGTAAAAAGTTTGTTATGGTCCTTATGGTTTACAGCAACCAAATTCCCAGGTAAACTCAAACCTTTACGGATTTGTACAGTGTCGTTTACATACCTTCCACGCATGCGTCCTGACCTAGTCCTGGCTCCTGAAAACTGAGCACAAAATTATCAAACTCCAACAGCTTGTTCAACGACTGCCCGTTGTCCATCTGGAAGGAAATAGTTAATGGGTTAAACGTTTTAGATAGCTAACAATCGATATGACCAAATCAGGATATATATATATATATATATATATATATATATATATATATATATATATATATATATATATATGTATATATATATATATATATATATATATATATATATATATATATATAAATATATATCATTTGACTAATAACTGGTGTGGGCTTTATATAACAAAAATCTTTGATGTAAAAAATATATTTCTTGTCCTTTAAAATCCTTTTTATAATATTGTATACGTTTAAAATCGTTTCAAACTAAATTATCTGCCCCTAATAGCCGTCACTAAACCCGACTCTGCTTGTAAACATTTAGAGTGAACCACAGCTCACCAGACCATGTAGGGGTGGGGGTGGTAGGGAGCGCGCTTACAGCTTGTTTTCTAGCAATTCCCAGAAGATAATTATATATATAGATAAGTTGAGTTGCGTGTTCCAACTTCTCGATAATTTTATAAACAGAAAGTGATCATTTTGTTTTAAATTGTTTTGTCATAGGCACTTTTCAAAATACCCACTCAAACAACAGTAATAATTTTTAAAAATACTGTTTTTGGTTTGATATGCATTAGAAGAAGAATAATTTCTCCTTATATGTATTTAGGTTTTGTTAAAAACACATCTTAAAAAACAACAATACGATTTTAAAAAATTCAAAGTGTGTATACCTCTATTTCCTGACTCTCTTGAGCAGAAACACTTGGCAAGCGTTTTTGAGCTCCTTCGAAACAAGATGTTGTTTAACAATAGCTCAAACACAACGAATCAAAACGAATTTAACAGGTGCGGAAATATTTACTGCTTATAACAAATATAACAGTTGTTAAAATATAACGGCTTTAAGCGAACTAAACATTTGTTAATAATATACAGCCGTTTAAAGGTATTAAACAGCTGTTAAAATTTTATAAGCTTAAAGCGATTTTAACTTTTTTTAAAATAGAACGGCGTGAAACGAATAGAACTCTGTTCCGAACATTTAGCGAAAAGAACTATTAACAAAAACAGAGAGGTTAAATACTACGATGAAAATAACGTCTTCAGTAATTCGATATTTAATTATAATTAAAATCTTTCAGCTGAGATTGTCATTTAGATTAGCTGATAGTACATTAAGCTCCTACTAATCTCTTAGTTTAATATCCAAGCATAGTGTGTCTGTTTGAGTATTTAGTATGCATTTTATGAAACCCCAGTCGCAGATGTGGCTGTTATGAACTAGCCGATACCAGTCTATCATAGTTAAACTAAAATATCACTACCCCAGACATTCAAAAATAAGCATTTGTCACCTGATTACTAAGATGTGATTTATTAAAATTTTGCTGTGAGATATTTTGTCTAAGATATTTTGTCTGAGATCAATTGTCCATGAGATCATTTGTCCTGATATATTTTGTTCTAGTATCTTTTGTCCGTGAGATCATTTGTCCTTGAGATCATTTGACGGTGATATATTTTGTCTGAAATATTTAGTCTGAGATAATTTGTCCATGATATCATTTCCGAACTTACTGGTGTCCACAGAGAGCGCGGTTACATTATCGCCCCCCCCCCCCCTCCAACTGCCCCAGAACTCGGTTAGCATGTTGTTAAGTTCATAAAGTTCATTAGGAGTATTAAGCTCTCAGCTTATTCAATGTCGTATGAAATATAATTACTTCCTTCGTCCGTTGGCTTACCGGTTCATAATTGCATGTCATTTAAAGCATGCAAGGTAAGTATTATGTTCAGGCAAGTGCTAATGAGCAAGGAATATTCAGTGAATACTGGAAAAAGCTACTGGGCGGGCAAGTGGTCAGGTAACAATTTTTGGCCAGGTAAGCGCTAGTGGTCAGATAACAATTATTGGCCAGGTAAGTGTTTGTGTTCAGGTATGCGTTAGGGGTCAGGTAACAATTATTGGCCAGGTAAGTGTTTGTGTTCAGGTAAGTGTTAGTTGTCAGGTAAATTACTGGACAGTTAAGTGTTAGTGGTTAGTTAACAATTTATCATTTGGTTGCTAAACGGTACTTATAAGTACCACTTTAATTAAGTGTTTTTATTATTTTCTATTTAAGATGAATCTTTAAAAAAAAACGTTTATAGAAATAATGGTATTATTGCACCTGAGTCACCGGTAGATGGCGCGATTGATGTTTTTTTTTTGAAAATTTCCGTTGTGGCGCTATTTTCATTCTCTTTCTGTATCGGTAGTTCACCAAGTTCTTTTCCCCTCACACACCTGTTCTTAAGTCTCCATCATTTTACCTCGGTATTGAGGTTTTCAAGTCCAAATGTATCATCATAAGTAGGTAAGTGTATTGAAAAGTTATTCATAAAATTGTAATTAAATTGTTCTTGTATTGGATCAATGTTTACTAGGAATACTTAGAAGTAAGGGTCATTTTTTTTATTTCTTGGAAATGACCTATTTTCAATGTCAAGTCACATAAGTATTATCTATCGTTCTAGCTATTTATATTCTACTAAAACTAGATATGTTTAGACCCCGGGAAACAATTACTGGCAAAGTAAGTGCTAGTAGTCTGCTTAAGTAACTTGTAAGAGCCAAGAAAGTTAGGTTAAATATTTATTTTTTCATTGTCAACCAATTTAGACAGATTATTAAATTGGACAAGTATTAGAGTTATTTATGATTGTTAGTGAATATTCTTTATTCAAAATATAATGTATCTTTAGACGAATATCGCATTTACAGTAGTAATCATAAAGTGAATTTTCGAATTTAAGAAAATTCAAGTTACAATATATTATAGTAAACGTTTCATGTAGAGATTTTGAAATTGCAAATCATATTTATTTTTATTTTGTATATTATATGTACATTAGAAATGAATTTTACATGCAATCCAGCCAAGTAAAGCAATTAAATAACATTACCATCACTGTTATGGTGCATTTTCCGAGAGTATAGATTGGTGCGTGTGAATATTGGTGTGCGCATATGTTGAACAAATGAAGATGTGACGCGCATGGTGAGATAGTGACGTAGGAGGTAGAAAGAAGGTTATTGCTGTAGAATAAAAGCTAGGAGTTAGGGGCTAGGTAATGAATAGGAAGTTCGGGTTATGCGGGTGATGTAGACTGATGTTAACTATGTTTTGAATAAAGACTAAAGTAGGAAGAATTGGTACCCTGTTAAGTATACTGTGATGTCTGTGACAATATGTTAACTTATAACGGAGTGGATATCGATAGACAAATGCCACAGCGGGTGATGATGGTATGAAAAGATGAAGCCTCTCAAAGTAACAATTACATAAACGTTATGCGTGAATTGACTTCAAAAACTAGAATTTCTGTACTTGGTAGATGTCGACAAACCCGTCGGAATACAAATTGTACTTCCGGAACATCAGCCTGCCATAGAACCTCCATTTTCCTGCGGCCTCCAGTTTTCCAGCTTCGGCCTCCCACAATCTGCCATACTCGATGGTAGGCATGGTCGATCTGTAGGCGTTCACAAAAAATCTGGTGGAGCAGACAGGGCAAACTAGAGTTGTCTTACAGACATCAGAATATATGTATATATATATATATATATATATATATATATATATATATATATATATATATATATATATATATATATATATATATATATATATTATATCTTAATCTTATATGATGTTATATATTATTACCTTGTTCTCTCCATTTTTACAAGCTTTTATTTAACTCACTTCCTCGTCGGTCTGTCTGTCTTGACGGAAACGCAGGAGTGAAAATTCGGACAGTTCTACTTGACCGACACGATTCACAGTTGGCACGTGGGTCAAGACATGAAGACAATGCAATCTGAAACTAAATTTGACTTAATTGGATGCCTAATTGATTTTTTATGAATTAATTAAAATTTGGACCGAATTAGTAGGCATGTCTAGCCAACCACACCACACGCGTCATCAATAGCTGCGCCATCACGACCACGTAATGGCTGCGTTCAAAAACCATTGCGCGCCTACTGAACGTGATGTTCAGTAGGCGCGCAATGGTTTTTAGTCATGTAACTCTATTGTAAATAAAACATGTAAAGTACTGAAAAAAAATTCATAAAAAACGTTTTAATAACAAGCTTTTATGTAATAATGCATTAAAAAGTAGAAAATAAATTATACACTACTATTTAAATAACTATAAAGAAAAGCGTGGGTGTCTTCCTCAACATTAGTAAAGGTATCCAATAGATACTAAAGTGACCCACGCTTTTCTTTATAGTAATTTAAATAGTAGTGTATAATTTATTTTCTACTTTTTAATGCATTATTACATAAAAGCTTGTTATTAAAACGTTTTTTATGAATTTTTTTAAAATTGGATATATAGTTATTGCATATAGAATTTATTACATTTATGTCTAATTAGATTGAAAATGAGATATTCTTATATTGTCGACCAAGATCTCCCATTTCGCCGAATTTCAGCTAAATCGGACAATGGACAGTGTATTAAAGCAACATTTCAAGATTTGCGGAGCCATAGATTTCTAAGTAAAAGCATTTAAAAAAAGATTTGTGTTAAGCTGTGTAATTATATATATAAAAACATATTTTTTCCTCTATTAAGTAAAGCTTACACCAGCAACAGCTGGAGAAGCATGTGTGACTTTAATACCAAAACATTTTTTGTGAGTCATCAGGTTTCTGCTTGTGGTAGTTGAAAACTACCTAGGTTCACCCAGCTATGATGGGTACCTAACACCCCTTAGTGCTGATCGTACAATCCTTTCATATACCGAGGTCACAGAAATTAGTGAACTCTACTTCATTTGCCCCATAGACCGACAGGTTTGAAAAGGGAACTTTAATTAAAACTATGTGAACTTTCAATTGTAATAGAGGTGGCTGGCAGTAGCGGATTAAGCTGGAGGGGGTTGAGAAGACTTCTTTCAAGGGGCCCCAAAAATGTCTGCTCAATTGTTAGTTTTCACTATAAAAACTAAAGTTTCAATGTTTGCATCACAACCTTCAATTTTGTTATACAAAATATTTAATACGCATACACACGCATATATATATATATATATATATATATATATATATATATATATATATATATATATATATATATATGTATATATATATATATACATATATATATATATATATATATATATATATATATATGGGGCCCCCAAACATATTTCAGCCACGGGGCCCCGCTCAAGCCTAATCCGCCCCTGGTGACTTGTAGGTGTTAGGACTTGACTTTGACTTTACTTGATGTGTGTGTATGTACGAGAAGGTGAAATATGACAGACTCTGTCTTACAGACGTCTGACGGAGAAAAGAGAGAAGCACAAAACGTGTGATGCTATTTAAACAAAAACAACAGTCGTGATAGAGTTAATTGAAACTTGCATTAATCGCCCTTACCCTCCAGGTTTGATAACTCTGACAAACTCTTGCTGAGCTGATGGTGGAAGATGGTTCTCACATGTGCCGCCGCTCATCGCAAGAACATCGTATGTGTCTAGAAAACAATTTGCTCAGTTATATGACAATCACAACAAGAACATCGTATGTGTCTAGAAAACAATTAGCTCAGTTATGCGATAACTACTGTAAAAACATTGTATGTGTCTAGAAATCAATATGGTCAGTTATAAGATAATAACAACAAAAACATCTACTATATTCTGGAAGAAAATATGGTCAGTTGTATGATTACTACAGCAATAGCATGATATACGGCGCGATTTGTACAGCTGTATGATAACTACAGCATGAACATCATATGTATCTAGAAAACAATTTGGACTGTTGTAAGATAACAATGTATATATCCAGAAATTAAGTTGCTCAATCATATAACTACTACAAGAAATGATATGTGTCTAATAAACAACTTGCAATAATAAAAATAATCACTGCAATAACATGTTATGTGACAAACATTTTGCTAAGTTATATGATAGCTAATGCAGGAACATCGTATATGGCAAACAATTTGCCCAGTAGTATGATAACAAACCGCTATACCATCATATTTGTCTAGAAAAAAATTAAAGGAATTCAGCTACACAACAATCATAGCATGAGCGCCACATGTCTCTAGAAAAACAATTTAATATTGTTAAAATTGGTAGCCTTAATTTTTAGCGAGAACGTAGTATGTATCATGGAGTACAAAATAATACAAACAATATAGTCCTACAGGGTACCGCTGTTTACAAAACTGTATTATTTAGTTGTTCAATTATCCCTAACGGTAATAAACACCGCACACTAGTAGTCTTTTAATCTCTTACGAGGATTATAACAAATCCTCCTGTCATAAAAACATGTTATTTGTCTAAAAGTGTTATTTTTCACACTGCTTAACAACAGGTTATTTGATATGTTCAGCGTACGTCTGTCGCTGTTTTGTAAACGTAGTTAATTCAAAATTCAAATGATCTGTCTATCTAAATATATGTTGATCTAAATATGTAAAAAATTATCAGAATAAACATTACAACGATATATTTACTTGGGGAGATGAATTATTGAAACATTTGATTAAAACGGTCGGTAAACTACATTGTTTGTCTAATTGTATCAAACCTTGAACCAATACGGTAACTCAGTAAAACAATTTTCCTAGGTAGATATATTTCCAAATTAATGTGTACATTTAATGTTTTTATCATTTTAATGGTAGCTATTAAATATGATATAATTGTAGATGTTTTTATATCAAGTGATAATTGAGGGTATTATTTCGTCATATTTTATTAAACAAGTTAATAAAAAGTCTAGAGACAATTTAAGCGCAATTTCCTTAATTAATTTTTTGTGACCGAACGAATCACCCGTAGATGTTTGCACCCCTTTTCGTTTCTCTCCACACGAGCAGAGCTAGTCCCCGCCCCCTCGCGAGCTGCGCGAGTCTGGCCAATGGCAGCGTGTACCGCAGAACGCGTCCAGCTACGCATCAAAGGGGAAAAAAGCCTACACGATGCTCAGTTTAAAAAAGTAATAATTAATTTTTTTTTGACCGAACGAAAGGATATTTTTAAAAACTTTCTTCGGCAATATTGTTCTAAATTATGGCAGGAATCGATTGGTAAATGTTTCAAGTCGCTAAGTGGTCTGGTTGCCGAGATATGGGCCAAAAACTGCATTTTTTCGAGTTTTTTTTGTGGCTTTTCCGGGAAATCCAGGAAGGAATTCCGGGAATTATTTTGGCCTATGTTCATCCTCGGAACTTGCTTAACATATTTGCTTTTGGAACTAGTCCTCGATATTGCTTCGTTGAGGAGGAGATACGACTTAAAGCTGCAGACACGCTGCGGACACACATCTATCCATCCATTCATCCATCCAGAAATGACGCATTATTAAACGCAATTGCCAGTATGGAAATTGCGCTAAAAACTTATGTCTCATTGTTGAGTTTCCTTCCTTTTCTACCCAATTGGATTCCGTCTAGAACTTGTGTTTGTGTGTTTGTGATTTGGTGTTGGTTTTTTTAAGTCACCAACGCACTTGCACTTACGTCTATTTATGTACAAACAAGTTCTTATTTTTGTATTTAGCGTATAAAAATTCCTGTTTTTAGTTAAAAGTCTGCATTGAACAGGAAATTCAAGAAATAAAATCATCTTCGTAAGAAATGAATTTGTACATTTTAAATGTAAATCGTCCTAGTGGTAAAGAGCTAGACTGCTAACCCGAGTCGCGAGTTCGAATACGAGTTGAAGTCAGTGGAATGTCACTGAGTCCACCCAGCTCTCTGGTGGGTACCTAACTAAAGTTAGAGGGAAAAAAGACGGCTGGGCATAATGCTGACCACACTATCCCTTCATATTCCGTGTCTTGGGTACGAACGGGGAAAGATGATAAGATAAAATGTAAATAAATAACAGAAGATAAGTGAGGTTGTAAAGACACACCCAATAGTTATATTGACTTGAGAGTCTTGCATCAGTGCCGATACAATTTATACTTTTACTATAACCATTGGTCAAATCTTTCACTTATATTTCACTTTCATTTTAAAAAAGAGGCATCGCTAGGGGAGGGTGGGTGGGGTGGCAGTCTAGGGCCTCGACCTTAGGGAAGCGGCGAACGAAAAGCTAGAAAAGAAAAGCTCATTTTGAGCTTTATTAAATTATTAACAGTCGAAGCTATGGAAAATAGACCCTTTACTCTGTTTTACGGGCTTATTAAAATATTTTCCACATCAACTGTGTGACAGTAACAGAAAAACATTGAGGGACAGTGACTGGTAAAAAGCGCCCCTCGGCCTTTTCTAATGGGGGGGGGGGGGGGGGTTGACAATGCCATTGTAAATAACTATACAAATAAGGGGGAGGGAGGCGCAAAGTTGATAGTTCGCCCTGGGGGCGGAATGTGTCGGTACGCCTCTGTTAAAAAAATAGTTTTATTGAAGTTTAATTAAAAGTTAAATTTCACTCACCATCAGCGGTCGGGATTTGCTTCCCTTCCCCAATGAGGCAGTGAATGAAGTTAGAGTAGATTCCCTTTTGTTTACACGTTTCTATCATGTTCAACGCTCCGTCGTGAGCGTGGATGTGTTTAAACCCACGTTTGTGTAGCTCCTCACCCACAAGACCTGGGAACAAACATTTACTACAGTCAGGAACTTACGAAATCTGAACCTATGTGTAGCATAGGTTTCTATGTTCTTAATTTAAAAGAAAACAACCTTGTATGGTTTACATTAATAACTTGTATTCAATAGCTTAAGAAACCAAAATGAGATGACACACAATGTGCTGTAAGAAACAATCCATTATTAAATTGTATGTATGTCGAAAACTTCTATCAAACGGGTTTAATCTTTTTGCGTCACTAATATTTAAATTAAATATCACTTCATATTTGTTTGTTTTATGTCCGGTTAGGTCACATTCGTTTTGAGAGATTTATGAAAACTGCCAAATCATCTACTAACGATAAAATAACTTTTTAAGATTGTTATATTAAATGTGTACTAAAAAAAGCACTCAATCTCATGCAACACAAAAACCCCACTTTCTAAGCCATATCTAGCCAAATCCTTACCGTGTAAACAATACATAAGCAACTACATTACCATTCATATCCAACACAACCACATTCACATACAACAACCACAAACCCAGTCACATATAATAACCACACACTTAGCCACACGTACCCTCATGCAGCAAACACAATCCCAACCACATGCAACAACAACAACCACATGTAACAACAACATACCAGTCCCAGCGGCCACGTCTAGAACCACCGCCTCCTCCCTCCTCTCCCCCACGAGTGCCGCCGCCATATCAGCACAGTACTGTGGACCTCTGTAGGCGAGGGCGACAGCCGACTGGGCGTACAGCTTCACTGCGTCATCTTTGTCGTAGGCTGCAAGGGAAGAACTCATCAGCTTAGCGTTATAAAACCGTCCGAGTTTACATGTTATAAGTTAAAGATCTCTCCGTGATTTAATGTTGAGAAAAAAATGACCACCTGCGGATTTGAACCTACTTAAAGACCCCACGGGATAAACTATAAATGTCCACTTTTTTAAATTTTTGAGTTGGCGCCAAGGACATAGCGACCCCTCCCGGCGCTCGGGGACAAACTTTCAATTTGCCGCCCCCCCCCCCATATATTTTTTAATATTTATAATTCAAAATATCAGCTAAAATGAGCTTATTTTGGCACCCCTAGGGTCGGCGCCCGGGGACATGTGTACCCCCCCCTTCGCTACGCCTCTGGTTGGCGCCATATTCATGTAGAACTAGTGTATATTTATCACGTATGACAATATTAAAACGTAAAACCACATCAATCCTATCAATATTTAGGATGTTAAAATCATGCCACAATAGAACAGAAAATGATCTCATTATTCGCAAAAGTAGAAAAGTATGACAGCTGTGGTTATTCCCTGTGGTCTTCATTCGCATATCGGTCGATTTAAAGAATAGGTCATATATTTTAATAATAATTTTATATTTTAATGCGTGTGTCAGTGTCTCGAGAGTAAAGAATACAATGTTTATTACTTTGTCTCGTAGTTCTGGTTCTTTACCAGACGTCATAACTTGACGCTTGAACTTTACGTGTAATCATTTGACCTGAACTTTACCTGTGGTCATTAGACCACAATATTCACCTGACACGGCTCGTAACTGATCTTCATGTCGTCACCAGACCTTGATATGACGTCATAGTGACCTGATTTTTATACTATGTTTATATATAGCTTGAAAGTCGCGTGACTTTTATAGACCTTAGGCTCAGAGTTTCTTCCAGGCATCTCTTCGGAGGGGCTCCGACCCCCCCCCCCCCCCCGAAGAAAGTCTACCGCCCCCGAACGAGATGGAATTTATATAGTAAACATACACTTTTACTAGTGTCTGCCCCCCCACCCCCAAAATGTTAACCGCCCCCCCCCCCCCCCGAAAATATCAAGTCTGGAAGAAACACTGCTTAGGCTTCGTCTGTCGTGCCCTACGACACTACCTGATTAGGCGAATTGAATGTACATTGACATACAACTCTAGGTTCTGTGGCTACCGACATAACAACATTCGAATGGTATTTTTTCTACATGCGCAGATCTCCGCCGTAGGCTAAAGTTTACCTTGAACACAGATCTCCGCCGTAGGCTAAAGTTTACCTTGGACACAGATCTCCGGCGTAGGTCAAAGTTTACCTTGAACACAGATCTCCGCCGTAGGTAAAAGTTTACCTTGGACACAGATCTCCGCCGTAGGCTAAAGTTTACCTTGAACACAGATCTCCGCCGTAGGCTAAAGTTTACCTTGAACACAGATCTCCGCCGTAGGCTAAAGTTTACCTTGAACACAGATCTCCGCCGTAGGCTAAAGTTTACCTTGAACACAGATCTCCGCCGTAGGCTAAAGTTTACCTTGAACACAGATCTCCGCCGTAGGCTAAAGTTTACCTTGAACACAGATCTCCGCCGTAGGCTAAAGTTTACCTTGAACACAGATCTCTGCCGTAGGCTAAAGTTTACCTTGAACACAGATCTCTGCCGTAGGCTAAAGTTTACCTTGGACACAGATCTCCGCCGTAGGCTAAAGTTTACCTTGAACACAGATCTCTGCCGTAGGCTAAAGTTTACCTTGAACACAGATCTCCGCCGTAGGCTAAAGTTTAACTTGGACACAGATCTCCGCCGTAGGCTAAAGTTTACCTTGAACACAGATCTCCGCCGTAGGCTAAAGTTTACCTTGAACACAGATCTCCGCCGTAGGCTAAAGTTTACCTTGAACACAGATCTCCGCCGTAGGCTAAAGTTTACCTTGAACACAGATCTCCGCCGTAGGCTAAAGTTTACCTTGAACACAGATCTCCGCCGTAGGCTAAAGTTTACCTTGAACACAGATCTCCGCCGTAGGCTAAAGTTTACCTTGGACACAGATCTCCGCCGTAGGCTAAAGTTTACCTTGAACACAGATCTCCGCCGTAGGCCAAAGTTTACCTTGAACACAGATCTCCGCCGTAGGCTAAAGTTTACCTTGAACACAGATCTCCGCCGTAGGCTAAAGTTTACCTTGGACACAGATCTCCGCCGTAGGCCAAAGTTTACCTTGGACACAGATCTCCGCCGTAGGCCAAAGTTTACCTTGAACACAGATCTCCGCCGTAGGCCAAAGTTTACCTTGAACACAGATCTCCGCCGTAGGCCAAAGTTTACCTTGAACACAGATCTCCGCCGTAGGCCAAAGTTTACCTTGAACACAGATCTCCGCCGTAGGCCAAAGTTTACCTTGAACACAGATCTCCGCCGTAGGCTAAAGTTTACCTTGAACACAGATCTCTGCCGTAGGCCAAAGTTTACCTTGAACACAGATCTCCGCCGTAGGCCAAAGTTTACCTTGAACACAGATCTCCGCCGTAGGCTAAAGTTTACCTTGAACACAGATCTCCGCCGTAGGCTAAAGTTTAACTTGGACACAGATCTCCGCCGTAGGCTAAAGTTTACCTTGAACACAGATCTCCGCCGTAGGCTAAAGTTTACCTTGAACACAGATCTCCGCCGTAGGCTAAAGTTTAACTTGGACACAGATCTCCGCCGTAGGCTAAAGTTTACCTTGAACACAGATCTCCGCCGTAGGCTAAAGTTTACCTTGAACACAGATCTCCGCCGTAGGCCAAAGTTTACCTTGAACACAGATCTCCGCCGTAGGCTAAAGTTTACCTTGAACACAGATCTCCGCCGTAGGCTAAAGTTTAACTTGGACACAGATCTCCGCCGTAGGCTAAAGTTTACCTTGAACACAGATCTCCGCCGTAGGCTAAAGTTTACCTTGAACACAGATCTCCGCCGTAGGCTAAAGTTTAACTTGGACACAGATCTCCGCCGTAGGCTAAAGTTTACCTTGAACACAGATCTCCGCCGTAGGCTAAAGTTTACCTTGGACACAGGTGTCGTGTCCCATGCCAGGCTGCTGGAAGCTCAAGACAAAGTTCTCACAATCCGCCGGCAGGTGTAACGTCTCCATTATCTTTGTTGTTTTTTTTGTCGGCCAAGGTCAAGGTTAAATGCACCTGTGATCAACAAAAGTTAATGAAATCACGAACTAAATTAACATTTCTTATCGTAGGTAGGATTTGTGTGTGTGTGTGTGTGTGTGTGTCTTTGTTTTGGTTTGTTTTCGTGTTTTAATGATGTAAGTGTATCACGACAACCGCCGGCCAAAAAATAAATAAATTATAAAGTTATTTGAATGTTCTTATTACAGAACACTGCCAGCTAAATGTGTACAATATTGAACAAAAGTTTTTTAAATATATATATATATATATAATATGCATAGGTGGTCATCAGTAGTACGAAATTCGACTGATATGTTACCATACGTACATTTACAAAATATAATTTACAAATCACTTTTGATGTAAATAATTTGAACATCTGTTAATTAAGAAAATTGAACTGTTTCTTTAATACATGGCACCTTTCAGACAGTGTTTCTTCCAGACTTTTTTCTCCGGGGGGGGGGGGGGGGCGGTAGACTTTCTTCGGGGGGCGGACACTGTTAAAAGTATATATTTTCTATATAAATTATATAAATTTCATTTCGTTAGGGGGGGGGGCGGTAAAAATTTTTTGGGGGGATGCCTGGAAGAAACTCTGCTTTCAGAATGTAAAACCTTACATTTTTAGTTTTCAAATTTAAATCTTCACATACTGTTTTGCTTACACACAGTACTAGAAACAGTCAGAGATTTCTGCTAGTCTACCTCCATGAAAAGTGTGTAACAAAAAGTGTAACACCTAAGGTCGGGCTTTCGCTTTTGTTTGACTAAATACCTGGTCAAATTTGGCGACGGTATCTTTTGTTTAACTAAATACCTGGACAATTTCGCAACATTATCTTTTGTTTGACTAAATACCTGGTCAAATTTGGCCATAGTAACTTTTAGTTGACTAAACACCTGGTCAAATTTGGCGACGGTATCTTTTGTTTAACTAAATACCTGGACAATTTCGCAACATTATCTTTTGTTTGACTAAATACCTGGTCAAATTTGGCCATAGTAACTTTTAGTTGACTAAACACCTGGTCAAATTTGGCGACGGTATCTTTTGTTTAACTAAATACCTGGACAATTTCGCAACATTATCTTTTGTTTGACTAAATACCTGGTCAAATTTGGCCATAGTAACTTTTAGTTGACTAAACACCTGGTCAAATTTGGCCACAGTAACTTTTGTTTGACTAAATACTTGATCAAATTTGGCCATATTATCTTTTGTTTGACTAAATACCTTGTCAAATTTGGCCATATTATCTTTTGTTTGACTAAATACCTTGTCAAATTTGGCCATATTATCTTTTGACTAAATACGTGGTAAAATTTGGCCAGATTAATTTTTGTTTGACTAAACACCTGATGATGATGGTCAATTTGTGCTTTGAAATTCCAGGTAAATTGTTTCACCAACAATTTTCAACAACTCGCATTCTCTTTGTTGTATCACTACGTGTCTAATACGTAATACTTTAACAATTTTATATTAATGTTGTTATTATTGTTATCAATATCCAGACATTAGAATAACGGTATGTTTTAAATTTTACTCAAACAAAATTCCAAAATATCTAAAAGCGTTTTTCGATAAAGTCACCGAAACATGTTTTAATAAACCAAAGCCAAAAGATAGCTAGATTTGAATCAAATATAAAAGCCAAACAAATCTGAGTCGGCACTAAATTTACCAAAAAAGTTTAATTCTACTTACTTTGAATTTCTTTTCTTCAGTGCGACAATTGATCTGTCCTTTTATATAAGCGCTTATGCTTTATTGTGACGGAAATAGATATTTGGATTATCTAACCAATGACATACTGCGACTGCTTAGTTAACCCAGATAGTAATTTTTTCCCCGTATGTTTGCTATGTACTTTAGTATGTCTGATTAGTTGTATTGGTTTGGTATAGTGTAGAAATATTTAGAGGGAGTAGCCTACGTTGGATGGGAGGATGTTGTAAATTAGGTTAGAGATGACAAATGTATAGGTTTAATTAATACATGGTGTGATTGGAGATGAGTGTGTTGTTTTAGAAACTATATCAGAACAGACATTGTTAAAGTTTACTTTATGTATTTTGAGATTTTTCGCCATTTTACTTCTGTCTACGTTATTGTATACGTAATATACGTAATAAAAAGGATTTTTTATAAACATACAAAAAAAAAAAAAAAAACTATCGCGATTTAGACAAATTTTGACTCTTCTTTTCTTCTTCTTCGTTCTTAATTGTTAGTGTTGAAGGGGATCGAGATTTATCTGCCAGTGGGTTTGAACACAAGACTTTGTTCGAATTTATCAACCATGAGCTTTTTGCCGACTCGACAACGCCTCCAACACAATTAAGCGGTACGTGTCAACTGGTTATGCGTCATTGAGGCCATTGACTCCGATTTCAGCCTGCTTTTCTTTTTGGATTTGCTTCCATAGCCTTTGTCCAACCAAGAACAAACTACAAGGCAGCAGATGTTTTATTTTTGGAGTTGTCTCTCCTAGAAGAGTGGCTGTCCCCAGCTAACGAGCCTCATCTGCCCGAGGGTTCGAACTCGAGACTTTTCGGTTTAGCAACCATGAGCTTTACCGACTCGACCACGCCGACCCCTACAAATTTTGACGTGTTGTGTCCTTCCGATTCCGGAAAATTTTAGTTTTTGGGATTTTGTCTGATAACGAGAGTTAACTTTCAGTTACGTTGACGAAATTTCAAATAAAAATATATCAAATTTGTAGTTTTCTATAAGTAGGACGAAATTTGTATGTAAGTATTGAGTTGAATGTGCAAGATTATTTCAACTTTTGAACGATTTCCGCTACTCGAAATAGGAACTTTATTTTTATTTCTGTGCGAACACTATAACTTGAGTGCTGTTTCATTTTGGTAAAAGAAGTGTCATATATAAGATCTTATACTTGTATTCCTTTCAATTGTATAAATTCCAATAACCGGAAGTGGTACTTTCTATTTTGGTTTCTAAAGTACTGATAATTTGTGTACCGTTTCACTAAGGTGGATCAAATTTATACATAAATATAACAGTTTATTCTCATTACTCTGTCTAACTTTAATTGATTTCCGATTTGTGAGAGTAGTACTTTAGAATATTTTTGATTTCTCAAAAAGATCACTGCTACCGTGCTGATTTCATTTAAAATTTTCACGTAGGTCAAGACTCGATATCGGTAACTTGTGACATTAATTATGACTTAATTTGAAGTTAATGAACTTATATAAATTTAGTCATTGTTTCTGTTACTAAGTACTAAATCTCTGCTCTATTATATACAATTTGTTTGGCTTTAGGTGGGCAGATATTTTTTTCTACACGATTCTTTGGCAAAAAGAAATATTCGAGTAAGTTTAGGGGTTTGTTTTATAAGACATTCCGTACATAATTATTTGGGTTTACTATCTATGCGATAAGTTAAAAATAGTTTTTGTTATAAAACCTTCGGTTTCTTTGTTTAGTAGCCTACACTGAAATATTGCAAAACATTTTTTTAAAATGATTATAACATATCAAAGTCCTTTATTGTAGCATTTGCATTGTCGAGGTTGTATGAGTTAAAATATTTTAAATTTCTAATTGCGTTGCACATTAACAGATAAGAAATGACTATGCGTTTTTATCGATAACCAAAATCTAAAAACCGAAAAAGTTTTTTTTTAAAATTGTGTATGTAGAAAAGTAAATTTAAAAAATTACAATTATGTGTGTCAAACATGTGACTCTACCATATGTTCAATGCATACTTTCTTACCTACTTAAATCCCTATATCCTTCATATTCAAACAAATATATGGATGTTAGTAAATTAATTAAATACACTAACCGAATGTATAACTACAAAATTATAATATTTAGGCTACTTTTGTGTAAAAATTGAATGTCAATACGAGTGTTTTTTTTAACAATTTAAAAGAAATTTAATTTAATCATCATAAATATCAGATAAAAGTTTTATTTATTCTTTGAGGCGCAAGTATTATAGAGTTTATTTTTAGAAAAAAAAATAATAATAATTTTTTCGGTTAACTTTAAAGCAGAATTTTGTAAGGTAGGAAGATATATTTTACATAGATTTGCTCCATAACGCTGCTAAACAAAACAATTAGTGCATTGTCTTGTGATAGTTGATTGTTATTAAAGAAATTCATCTCACAAGAAAATAAAATTGGGATTTGAACCCACAGTTTTTATGTAAAGGCTTTCTATGAGCTAAAATTTGTCGACGCAAAACAAATCTTATCTTAAATTTCTACTTAAAATATTCTGTTATCTTCAAGGTCAATAGCGTCACAGATATGGCACATAAAAACAACACGTTGAAGGCCGGTCTTCTGTTAAAGAGACCCAAATTCGATAGAAATCTATTTAAAATTATTTAATTTTCTGATTGTAAATAAACAGTTATATCCTTGGTGAATCGAAATCTACCCATGTAATTAATCGTAGATTAAAAAGACATTAAACATAGCAATTTTAAAGATGTATTGTTTAACATGTATTATAACATTTTATGCACAAAAAAAATGTTTTTCTCTCCTCATTTTGTTTAATATTCAACCAAATGGAAACTTCATGAACATTCCCTCTTAAACAATTAATTTTAAGTGTTCATTGGGCGTATTATAATTATATTTTTTCGAATATATATGATCAAGTGATAGCTTATCTAATTAAAACTGCTTAAGTAGGTTTAATTACTATCAAGAGGAGGAAACGAATTTCAAGATAGCGCATTCATAATATCACATGAAATCACCAGATGTGAAAACAGGAACTCCGTCGACCACTTACGAATAAACAAAAAAATGGAAAACACCCCAACAAGACGAGATATTGAAGAGATGAGCTGATTTAACGCTACGTATAATTATAAAGAAGTTGAAACACAAAGTAAAACGGATTATAATAACTGAAAAAAGTAACTGAGAATTTGAGATAAAAAAAACTATAAGACACCTAGATCAAATAAACCGGGAGTGATTTTCCCTAAACTTTCTCGAATATTCTTATATAACACTACGTGGTATGGCAAATCGGGATATAGACATGGTTTTTTTAAAATCAATTTTAATTACTTAAGGTTTTAAAAATAATAGAATAGAATCTCGAAGAAAGAAAAAAGAGAATTGTGTTCCACTGAACAGCAAACAATATTTTATAATAGTGTGGAATAATAGTACTTTATAAATTCATATTAGTTTTTTTTCGAATTCGGAAATCGCGTAAATTTTAAGTTTCTGTCAAAGGAAATTACTCAAAGCTTGAAAGAAGGCAGAGGATTAGATCTTTTACTTACATGTAAAATTTCATTTATCTATCAGAAATAGTACTCAAGTTATAGGCTTTTGAAAAATTGAAAGTAGAGTAAGTTCCACATCCCGGTTACCGGAAATCGCTGAAAAGTTGATACAGGTCTACAAATCTGATGTAATACTTACATATGAAATTTTATCAACCTAGCTGTAACGGTACTCTAGTTATCCTATGCACAGATACACATACAGACATGCAGACACACAGAAATACGGACCGAACTGCAAAAGTATGTTTTCCGACCCAGTGAGGTGTAAAACGTCGAGATTTCTTAAAATCTCGATTTTTTTAGACGATTACAAAACTTCCTCTATACTTTGTATACGAGAAAGAAGTAAAAAGTATTCGGGCTCAAACGGAACTACGAAGCTATGACAAAATCATCCAAAAATTTCCAAGGATACAAAAGAAAAGTATAGAAGAATGGATCAGCAAAACGACAGGAAAACAGTGGATCAGCAAAAACATATGGCCATAATTAGTTAAAGGAAAAAAATCAAAGAACGACTATTAAATACTAGATCACAACGAAGGAAGAAAAATAAAAGGAAAATATATCAGAAGACAAAGAAAAAAACTCATGCAGGAAGACAATTACTGTGACACTCTATCCCAGAAAGAAGAAAATGCAAGCTTTATGAATGATATAAGAACCTTCACAACTTAATTAAACAACTAGCAAACAATTTTTTAAAAATTGAAACAATGGACCACTGGTAGGGAAAATGGTTAAGAATATTATAGGCGAAAAAGAAAAATTCGAGAGATGGAAGGAATAATATACAGAAGTACTAAAACTTATTTATCAACCAAGTTCAGAATTGGAATACTGTCGTATCTAAAAAGACCTTTACTAACATATGTTTATGGATTAAATAATGTCTGACAAGGCCAAGTGGGACTGGCAAGATTGTTTTAGTTTCCTGCTGCCCACTCAAGCTTCAGCTTATATTCAGGAAATGCATAGCCGTTGATAAACTGTTTGAATCGACATCCAAAGATGAACACTTGAAATAAACAGCTTCCTTGTCACGATTTTTAAATTATTAGAGTTTGTGCCAAGTTGGTATAAAAAATAACTTTGTACTGCCTTTTTTTCTAAAGCTGACTGGTTTGGTAAAGCAGGCTCAAACTATTGTGTTGGTGTTTTCAAAATGTTTATATTTTAAAGAGATTGGAAATGAAAGTGTATATATTATTAGTTGTGGCGCTTTTCTTCTGTAAGTATAAAATTATCAATTGCAGTTATTAAACCATTTGTATCTTCGTTCATATATTAGGATCTTTACTACAAACAGGATTGAAATAATAAGTAATTCTACTATGGCATTCCCTCAGGCCTGTCCCTGGGGTGTGAGGATGGCTGGTTCTACCACCCACACACCCAAACCTGTGTGCATCTGGTTAATGAGAAGAAAAATTTCTCAGACTCTGACGAGTATTGCAAGGCCCATGCATCTAATCTGATGTACATAGAGGATGTAGAAATGGATAAGTTTGTTAAAAGTAATTTGCATGACTAAAAATTCATTTGCACTTAAGTTCATATATATATATATATATATATATATATATATATATATATATATATATATATATATATATATATATATATATATATATATATATATATAAATTCATAATATTATAGGCTTATATATATATATATATATATATATATATATATATATATATATATATATATATATATATATATATATATATATAAATTCATAATATTATAGGCCTATATATATATATATATATATATATATATATATATATATATATATATATATATGTATAAATTCATAATATATCTATATTTTCTACTAAAACTCAAGTTTGTTTATATGTTTGAATATATTTATTGTTTTTGTTTTTGTTTTGTTTTTTATTTGTCTGTTTGATTACAGGAGAGAATGTGCATTATGTGTAGAGCTGAAAAATACGTATTTAGTAGAAAGCGATGTTCTTTTGACCAGACTGTTAATCACAAATTAATTTAAAGACGTTAATGAATTTATTGATATCTTCATTGTTAGATTAACCACATTAATTATAAAAGTTCAGAACAATGACTTTACTTATTTTGACGTCACATGATTTATTTACTTTTTATAACATTAATGGGGGCTTCCATCGAAGATTGTGTCGCTCACTCAAAAGTATAACGCTCTTTAAAGCTAAAGTTCTCTTGGCTATAGCTTTAACGATGCGTACGTTTGCTATTTTTATTAGGTTCAAACACTATTATCAATTTTCTACAGTTCTTCTAATATGAGTATACAATCAATTTCTCTAAATCTAGAGAAATTCTGAGAAAGTCAATCCTAGATCTAAAATTTAGAATCTAGGTGAAACCAAAATTCATTAGTTTAAAAAATAAATAATTAAAACAAAATAAATTATTGAGTTTCTTACTTAAACTATGTTAGTCCTTAAATATTTTATATAAATCTTTGCTTTTTAGCTTCAAAAATTATCTAATTAGAGAATACATGAGTTTTATCTATATCTTGATCTAGAATCTAGATTTAGAGTTACGGAAACACTACTATCTAGACTTAACGTTATTTAAACTTAAATTCTACATCTAGAATCTAGATCTAGATCTAGAATCTATATACTGAACTATTTCAAGCCTTAATTATTTTATATAAATCTTTGTTTGTTTAACTATGGAATTCAATTTTTTTAAAAATGCGAATGTTAAAGTTGCCTATCGGAACTCGGCGAGATACAAGACAAGTGAATTAGAGTTCACCTGTTTCTGTGTCCTCAGCATATGAAGGGATAGTGTTGTAAGACTCATGCTCAGCCAAAATCGTTTTTTTTTTAAGAAAAAAACATGTCTGATTTTGGGGGACAATGAGCAGGTGAAGTTGAGTTGACCTGTTTTTGTTACCTCAGCATTTGAAGGGATAGTGTGGTCAGACCGAAATCAGCGTTTTTAAAAGACAGAAACGTTTAAGGTGTGACGTCTTTTTGAATGTGGGCTCTGGTTTTTTAATGTGACGATTATTGACAGACGTGATGTCATTTAAGGATGACCCCCAAAACCCACAGTTATCCAAAAGATGACGGGTAGTCTAGTATATTTTAAAAAGTCAGAAATTATTACTTATTTTTAAAGTTATAACTTTTTGAAATATATTACAGTCAGTAATTTAGAATTGTCTAGTTATAAGAAGAACAGATATCTACGAAAACAAGTGATTTTCCCCAGATCAAGTATCTCCTCATTTATGACCCTACTAAACAATACATATTATGTCTATCCAATCCTTCCCCCCCCCCCCCCCCGAACGAAATATAATTTATGTAGAAATATATACTTTTACCAGTGTCCGTTTGTTATCTATTCCTCTTTCTGTACTTTTTTTTTCTTTTTTTGATGGCTCACCAAGCAATATTGCCTCCATCTCTGCTTCAACTCTTCCTTGTTCTTGTTTTAGTTTTTTTTAGCAAGCAAACTTTTCCGGCGATTACCTGCCACCTACTGTGCCACCCCTCAACCGTGTTTTGGGTCCTTGGAATCCCATGTACATGATTGTCATGTACAGACCAGAACTCTGGTGTAAAAAGCGGTGTAACCCTCACCCCACTTGTATTTAACAACCTCACTCGACCACAAAAGTAGGTCTCGTCAAACCACTTCACCAACTGAACTGTATTTGGTGAGAAAATGATTTTTTTTAATTCATTAAGTGCTGCCGGAATCTCTACAGTTGGAAGAAGTGCAAGTGCTACTATTTGCCGCATCAGCAGGCAGAACTGTGGATCCTGACCATAAAGAAGTGCCAAGCCCAACGCTTGTAGCTTTCGCAATATTTTGTTGTTTAAAATTAAAAAAAAAACACCCTTTACTTGAAGCGTTTTGGAATTCAATGCATGAATTGATTGCAGCTCAAAGTCAATGAAAATAAACCGTGGAGATAATTTTATTTGCATCTTTTCTGTGATATCTGCAATGTCCTAGAACGCTCTTATATACAAATCCTCGGTTTTTCGAGACATCAAAATGTAGACTAGCGGTAAAACTCTGCAGTTTTCGTAACCTACTGGGGCATGAATGGAGTAGATTTGTAGGAAAATATTATGAGCAGTTTTTAAAGTACCATCCATAATCCAATACATAGCCTCACCAAGTTTTTGGATGTTTGATTCGGTAGAAAATATTAGCAGCTTGTCATTGTTTATGGAGCTTTCCTTTAACAGAAACAAAGCTCCTGACTGTGTCAACCTCACGCTATCTGGAATAGCCACATCTTCTAATGTATGTGGCTCTACTGGATGGTTTTTGTTTTGAGTCCTTTTATTTCTCTTCGTTAAAACCTGCTTTAATGGTATATCAACACTTGTTAACGTGTTTAGCTCAGACTTCAAAGCCTCTAATATTTGAGTTCAATCCAAGTACAGAAAGATAATCTGCACTATAAAAGTTGAATGTTAAATCATGGTGCCTCAAGGTGCAGTTCGCACCCACGCCCCATGACGTAACTGTTCGTACCAATACCCCAGAGAATTTTAACAAGTAATGTTATAAGCTGTTGCTAATGTAGTAGAAGGCATCACTACCAATTGATTTCAGTTTAATAAACGTTTGGTTGATAGAGTGCACTCTAGTAACTTTGTTACATTTTGTCTTATGTTATGTGTCTACTTGCCCCACCTACCCCCAACTCACCTTCAACGATTTAAACGGCATATTTTAAAACGTTTATTGCGTTGTTATTGCGTTGTAGGTGAGTTGAATATAACATATTTTGTGTTTATACAACATGTAGGCATACTTGTGTTTGTTTATTAATATATAATGTAGTGTTTCTTTTTAACAAAAAAATTATCTTACAAATTTCGGCCATTTTGTATCACTAACACAACAGAATTAATGAATCCAACGAATATAGTATACACTTTTTTACGCAATTCGCAATGGACGAAACTGAAATATAATTCAAAGTTTGTCGGTATTTAACATGTGGTCCACTCACGGCACGTGATCTTTCTACTTCATTCGATTTCTTTGCGAAATATGGTAGTAACACCACCTTTGTACAACTTTGTACTCATCTCCAGTCGCGTGGACCCTATTGTTCATCTAATAAGGAGAGCAACTAGCATTGTGTATTGGCGTTCCACCTTACTGCATGTGGGCGATAATGCGACTTGTGTGACCTACTTAGGTCTTATTTTTTTTATTATTTAATGAGCCGACCCGCGATATATCAAACGCCGCTATTTAGTTGTTGTTTTTTCTACTTTTCAGTAATTCATAATTTGTGAATTCGACAGTACCAACGCTGCCACTGAAAATATTTCTTTAAAACACTATAAGTAGCTCGTTACAGTAAACTCCACTTAGTTACCCCCCCCCCCCCCTTTACGTTTAAAATCGTTTCAAACTAAATTATCTGCCCCTAATAGTCGTCACTAAACCCGGCTCTGCTTGTAAACATTTAGAATGAACCACAGCTCACCCGACCATGTAGGGGTGGGGAGGTAGGGACGCTTGTTTTTTAGCGTCTCCCAGAGGAGAATTAAATATATAGATGTTTCATTTATGTAATCGACCTAGGGTGGGGTTCGATTACCCGCTTAGAATCCAGGCGAACAGCCCATAATTATGGGATCTCACCATGAATGTGCTTCTCTGGAGACTGTCCAGACCAGTTTACCAGACATTCCGGGAGAGATTGCCATGCGTGATGCCATATTGTATTCTATAGTTTAAAGCAGCATTTTCCCCCTATTACTTGTGATTTTAGTATCATCCAGTGCTTTAAGTTAATTTCCTATAAGCTGTGTTGATTTCCTAGTGCCACATCTGTGATATTTGTGGTAGAGTAGCGCTCGTAATACTTGGTTCTTTGATGGTTGTCTTATACGACAGTAGTGACTGCATTTTGCAATATTTAGGTGTTGATCCATTGTGTTTAAGACACTCACTAATTTTCAGTCGCTTGGACCCGATGGTTCACTTTATAAGGATAGCAACTAGCATCGTCTCCACTCTTGAAAGTTTCACCTTATTTACTTACTTATTTCGATGGTTGTCAAGATAGCAGCTGTGCAGTTCTATATATATTGCGATATTAGTATTTTTTATGCTTGTCGGCCTTATGGTTTGTCGGCCTTTTGGCTGTCTACCTTATGACTGTCGGCCTTATTTCCTGTCAGCCTTATGTCATGTCAGCCTTTTGGATGTCGGCCTTTTGCCCTACACCCGTTTTTATTCTCTGTGTAAATTGTTCAACAAATTAACATACTTGTTTCTGTTCTTGTTTTAGATTTAATTTTGAAAAACTCATCATATCGTTTTGGAATTTATCTCAGTGAAAATGAAGGTCTATACTGGGAAAGAGAAAAAGAGGTATATAGTGATGTTTAAGAAAATATTGAAAAACTCTCATAAAAGGGTAGATATTTTTATATTTCACTGGTTTCAATATATATGGTATTATGTTATTTAAGTTGCCACCCTTTTTTACTATCTCGTATACGAAGTATAGATAAAGTATTGTAATCGTGCAAAGAAAATCGAGATTTTCAAGAATCTCGACGGTTTACACCTCCCTGAGTCGAAAAAGACATTGTTTTGCAATTTTTGTTCGTATTTTTGTGTATGTGCAAGCTTGTCTGTGTATGTTTGTAAATACGATAACTTGAGCTAGGTTGATGAAATTTTAAGTATAAGTATTATATTAAATTTGTGCTTCTGTATTAACTTTTAAGTGATTTCCCATAACCGGCAGTTGGACTTATTCTACTTTTAGTTTTTCAAAAGCGTATTTTCCGAATTATACTCACACTGTTTCGAAAAGCTGTTTTTTTCGCGGTTCTGTTTAAATAAAGCGGGAGTGATTCCCCCTAAACTTTCTCGCATATTCTTATATAACACTTCGGGAGATGACACTTCGGGGGATATAGACCTGATTTTTATAAGATTTTATTTAACTTGTCTCTGTTTAGACTGAAACGCCCGAGCGAAATTTCGGGCACTTCTAATTGGAACTTGGGTCAAGACATGAAGACAATGCAATCTGACATTAATTTTGAATTAATTAATGCGTAATTATTTTTAATGAACTAATTAAAATTTTGTCCTCACTATTACAGAAGCGTTATCACGTTCATTAGGTGCGCAATGGTTTTTAGTCATGCAACTCTATTGTAAATTTGAAAATTTAAAGTGCTGAAAAAAATTCATAAAAAACGTTTTAATAACAAGCTTTTATGTAATAATGCACTAAAAAGTAGAAAATAAATTATACACTACTATTTAAATAACAATAAAGAAAAGCGTGTGTCTCTTCTTAAATATTAGTAAAGGTATCCAATTGATACTAAAATGGCACAAGATTTTCTGTATAGTTATTTAAGTAGTAGTGTATAATTTATTTTCTGCTTTTTAGTGCCTTATTACATAAAAACGTGTTCTTAAAACGTTTTTTTATGAATTTTAAAAATCATTTTTAATTACTTAAGCGTTTTAAAATAGAATAGAATCTCGTAGAAAAAAAAGAATTCACCAAGTGAATGTCAAACAATATGTGTATAATAGCGCGGACTGTTATTAGTACTTTATACATTGATATGCTTTTTTTTAAGAAAACAAAAATAGCGTAAATTACTATTTCCAGTCAACGGAAATTACTCTAAATTTTGGTTACCTGAAATCGCTGAAAAAAATGATACTTAACCACAAATTTAATATATATATATATATATATATATATATATATATATATATATATATATATATATATATATATATATATATATATATATATACATTTACATCAACCTAGCTGTAACGGTACTCAAGTTCTCGGGTTTACTGGCAATCACAGAAATACGGACATAATTGCAAAGCCCAGTTTCCCTGAATCGATTACGCGTAGAACGTTAAAATGGTTATACATATGCATTTTTAAACCGATTAAAATAAGCCCCCTAAACTCCGTATATGATGAAGTACTGAGGTGTAAAAGAATGAAAACTGTCAAAATTTCGTGATTTGTGTGCATGATTACAATACGTCCTCTATACTCTGTATACGAGATAGTAAAAAAAATCTAAGTATTAAGAAAAACTAATAAAAACATTTCTGTAGCGCTGGAAGTGCCATATATATATATATATATATATATATATATATATATATATATATATATATATATATATATATATATATATATATATATATATACATGATATATATGATTACAAACACAGAAAATAATTGAGAGTTATTACGACAAAAACATAAAAAAGTACACATTCTTGCTCATGTTACCTACTGTGTGTTTTAACCTTTTTAGAACGTTTCCTACCAGGGATGGCAGACGTCGGACGATGAGATATTTTATACGCGAGCAGTGGCAACAACATCGGGTTGGATGTCTGTTCCAGAAGATGACAGACATCCGTTTATTTGCCAGGTTGACGCGGGTTGGTCAAGCTTAGTTTTTATGTCAATTGTTTCCGGGTGACATCCACTTAAATTTGTTTTAATACTTTTTGTTTATAAATTAGAAAGACATAAATAACTCATTATTTGCTCCCTGGGTGCATTTTACTTCACTACTCACAACAGCAGTTATATTAAAGCGAATTGGGTAAATAGGTATGTAACTGCTATTAATATATCCTGATGTGTTGAAATGTATTAATTTTCAGGTTTTAAAATAATTTTATTTACAAGTCTAAACTATTTGTATTGATGTTAGTTTCAGATTTTGTAAACTTTTTGGGGACAGATTCCTACGTTAACGGCAAATACTTCAAACATTTTCCTTTTGCTGAAAGCTGGAGTGACGCAGACGTGAGTGACTTCCAGTTCAGACATAGCCTAGTTCTAATGCATGTTATTAAAACACACATTTAATTTCAATTTGAAAAAAAACGCTTTTCCCCCAACCCCAATACTCCCCTTTTTACAAACCATCTTCAGTAAAATTGACCATTCTTATTCCAACTTTGGCTTTTTATGTTTTGACATTCTCTTCAAAAATGAAAAGTAGGGTTAGGGATGGAAGCCTAACCGTGTAGTTACTTCGGAGGTATTATTTCCCGTTTTACCGAAGTCCTGTTTATTTCCAAGTCTTGGTTTTTAAACCACCTGGCAGCAGTGTGACTCGTACAGATCATATCGCGCAATAATTTCTTTTAGTTTTTAATGTTTTTCGGTAACATCTTTTGGTAAAAAGCGTAAGTTTTAAAAAACGCCGAACTGCTGTATTTTTTCATAACTACCTGCATTTCTGTTCATACATGTTTAATTTTTAATTTTTTTTTGTAATCGTACCAAATTTATAACAAATGTCTCTTTATTTCGGAGTGTAATTTATAACTGACTGCTTATCTAACACTTATAAACATTACATAACACTCACACGAATCAAAGATATTACCATATTTTTTTTTCTAGCTTAACGTGACTTCTAAGTAAATGAAGGCTGCTCTTGCACGAACCTAGTTCAGGCAATAAATTTATATTTTGATGATATTGATTAAAATCCTGAATTGATGTTTCTTTTCCACTAAGTATTATTTCAATAAAATGTGACAATTTTTATCGTGTACTAAACATAGACATAGTCGGTGTGGACATGCGGGTAAGTGTATGGTAACTAAACGAAAAAGGCCTGAGCTCGAACCCCCCGACGGATGGTCTTCGTTAGAAACCTCTTTAGGAGAGAGAACATCATAATACAACAGAAGGGGAACCCATGTTAGATAGTTTTACTAACTCTTGTTTCCATTCGTCATTCCGACTTTCAAGTTTTTACTTTCTCGTATAAAGAGTATATAGCAAGTATTGTAATCGTGTCCTAAATTTACATTACAAATTTTGACAGTTTTCATCGTTTTACACCTCAGTACTTCATCATAAAGGGAGTATAGGGGATTATTTTGATCGGGCAAAAATAATACATGCAGATGTATCAAAATTTCAGCGTTCTAAGCGTAATCGAGTCGGAAAAACTGGGCTTTGCAATTCTGTCTGTATGTCTGTGTGTGAGCTATAATAGTCCGAACTATTATACACAAATTGTTTGTCATTTACTTTTTCGGGATTCTATTCTTTTTTTTTTTAAGTTTAATTATTTAAAAATGGATTTAAAATCATGTCTTTATCCCATGTTGCCATCCCCGTAGTGTTATATAAGAATATTCGAGAAAGTTTAGGGGAGATCACTCGCGGTTTATTTTTATTAGCGTGAGTTATATTTATTTTTAAATCACCTCCCCTGGCATACTTATTAAAATATTCTAATTAATTAGTTATTTCGACCATAGTGTTATGAAAATATATTCACTTTTTCTAGGAATCTAAAAAAAATTATATTTGACATTGATCCGTTTAATATGTTTTAGCAATGTGAGTGTATTTAATATTTTCTTCACGTTATTCGAAGGTGTTAAAACTGTGGCTACTATAAAATAAACTTAAGTCGGTATGTAAGCAACCCTACTATATCATTTATAATAAGACAATGTGATGCAATGTCAAAGCACTACATGTTACGATATTCGTTCGCATCTCGTTCTTTGTTTGAAAACAATGATGGGGAAGCATGAAGCAGGCGATGAGTTGTCTAATAACTAAACAGAAACAGACCCAGTTAAAAAAATCTTCCATGAAATTCCTAGAGGAAAACCAAAATCAGGCGTATGTAGAAAGACGTTAGAACCCAGAGATCTTCTGTCATTAAACAGGTGAAAGCTATGAAAACGACATGGCACTCAGGAATGAAAAAAAAGGTTAAAGGACATACCGGAACAATTGAAGACAGAAAAAGATAAAGAAAAACAGCTTCGGAGACAGAGAATGGAGGTTAACAAGAAGCGCAAGTTAGAGAACCAAAGAAAAGCAGAAATAGTGCAGCCTATAAAAAACACAGCAAAGATAAAGAAAATGAAGAAGAAACATTTGATGACAATTGAAGTCAGGTGATGGTTAAACAAATATCAACAATGTTTAGGTAAAAGTAATAAAGTTGTTTTGGTGGAAAAATAAGGAAAAATAAAATAAAAAATAAAATAAAAAATAAAATAAAAAATAAAAATAAAAAATCTCGTTTTTTGTCATGGAAGGAACAACAGAGTTTCTGTCGTCGTTCGATGAAAACCACACAATTTTACAATGCCTGGAACAAAGGATGATGTTGCTGTTGAGTCAGAAACAAAACAGACCACAGAGCCAATTGTAGCAAAGACAGTTGAAGATGTGAAAGGCAAGGCTGATGTGGCTGATGCTGAAGCAGAAGAACAAACAGAAGAAAACACAAAAACAGAAAATTCAGAAGAAAATACAAATGAAAATGCTGAGAAGAGACAGAATCAAAAACAGAAGAAACAACAGCAGAAAAGCGATCTGTAGATGAAAATGAAAGTGAAGATGCGGAAGATGAAAGTCCGAAGAAAAAAGCAAAGACAGACTCAAATGAATCATCGAATGGTACCACAGTAACAACTGAATCCGCTTAGTTCTATTATATATATAATTTATTTTTCCTTATCATTTTGATTTTAATCACAAACTTGTAAAATGTGTTTATCATCATGTTCAGAAGAAAACTGAGATATTTATAGTCAAGTTGTACACTTCATCATGGTTCTCATCATTTATACTGTTCTTATAATAAACATCTTAATGTAAAAAGAAATGTTGCGATATTTATTTTCATGGTTCCAAAGTATATAGACTGACGGACTGACACACTATCAGTAGCGTTATATTAAAGATATTCGAGAAAGTTTAGGGGATATCACTCCCGATTTATTTTAAACATGAACATTAAGGCGTATTATTTCGTTTTATAAAATAGAAGTTTTGCCAGTCGACATTTTACAATGGTAGACTCGCAGAGCCTATTAGTGATGCTGAAAAAAAACTCATTAAGATCATGGCTGAAAAAATAAAATTTATTTGTAAGTAACAATATATTCTTATATATTTATATTGCGTTGTGTTCTAAAATAATAGCAGTATAATTAAATTTCCATTTGGCTATATTTGAGTACAATAAATTTCATCAATTGTAATTTATATTTTATACATACAGGCAGCTTCACTTGTCAATTAGCTTACTTAATTGCAATATTTTTTCTTTATTGATAAATGTTATCCTAATAGTAATTTTATTTATGCAAATATGACATAAAAACGAAAAAAGGTTATGTGTTTGTTTAGCTTGGATTGGTGCTAGCGATACCACAGAAGAAGGAATATTTAGGTGGAACAAGTCTGGCGCTATTTTGAAAAGCAATGATGGTTGGTGGGCAAAAACACAACCCGACGACTACTATGCAGGAGAAGACTGTGTTCAAATAATCTGGAGTACCATGATAAATGACTGCACCTGTTATTATCGGTATCCTTTCTTCTGTGAATCAGGTTGGTGAAGTTCAAGATTCAGTATTCTCCGATGAGGATTTGAATTTTTAAATTTGTAAGAACTGGTAAACTGTAAGTACTTAAGAAAAATAGCTTGTCACATACTTGTCTCGATAAATCGTAATAGTCATATTGTGATAGGTGGTTTATATATATAACTTTATAACTTTAACTTCTCTATATATTCTGTTCTGGTCTACTACTATTCATACGGCATACTTGTAAGGAGGACGGGGATCACTCTTATGTTCCTCAGAAACTAACTAACAATGCCAACAACTTCGTTTATGAAAAGAACACTAACTTTATTAACACACTTATAGATCATTTGTACAACATCAAAGAATACGTCCGTCTTCTAGTTTATCTAACCCCAAACTAACTACACTGCTGCGGTCTACGTCATTGGTACATTGTCGCGTCATGCTCACGTCACATTCGCGCCACAAATATTTTATTAATCGCTCGCACAATACTCTCGCACCGAATCGACTACCGTCAAGTTTGCACCGTCCTTCGTAACCCCTTCCAGTCCAGTCCAATTCTATATATCTACGCTATGACACATATGACAACCGACTCCTAAATGAAGACTGTTTAGCGTCCATCGTAAAGCAAGACACGGGTTATTGAATCGAACAATATATTTTATCAGAAATGTGTACCCGAAAGTTTTGAGTTCGACTCAGGTTTCAACTCAGTAGAAAGTCCCTGAGTCCTCCCAGCTCACGGATACCTAACGTACGTAAGGAAAAGTAAAAGCGGCCGGGAATTGTGCTGACCACACTATCCCTTCATATGCCGAGGTCACAGAAATATGGGAACGCTACTTCATTTGCCCCATGCACCGTCAGGTTCGAAAAATGAACTTTACTTTTTACTTTTAGGCTTCACATCTAATCGACTAAGACAATTGGCAATAAAAAGAGAAAAGACAAGCTGTGGTTTGCCGATCTGATTGGAAATAATGATTTGAGCAAATATTGTCAGTTAATAGAATTTTATTCAATTTATTTTTTTATAAATATAAATGCCTTTCTTTCACATAAAATTTTCCGGGAAGTGTTAGTTTAAAACCCTATGGATTTACTGTCTCGAATCCGGAAAAATCACATCTTGAAATACTTTGCCATTTAGACTAGAACTATCAAACAAACCTGTCTTGTAATCATAAAAGCAAACTAAGGCTTTGAGCAATTAAACTCTTCCTCCAAGCATAACAATCTATAGGGCAAGTGAAGTAGAGTTCACTTGTTTCTGTAACCTCGACATATGATGAGATAGTGAGTTAGGTACCCATTAGAGTTGTGTGGACTCAGGGACGGTCTACTGACTTGAACCCGTACGGGTTAGCAGTCAAGCTCTCTACCGCTAGGCCACTCCGTCCCGTCAAAGCAAGAATAAGTCATTCTAAACTGTTTGGCTTCGTGATTTTGTTTTTACCTACATTTGATTTAGTAGATGGTTGTTGTTATATATTTAATTAACTATTAACAGTGTACATGCATATATCATTTTTCAATATCGTTGCTAACATTGAGTGCGCCAATGTGTTACTTACTTGTCTTTCTACAAATTACTACAGAAAATACACTATCACGTGATACAATTACATCTGTTTCGGCCAAATCGCATTTTACCTAACGCTTTACTGTAGTGTTAAATAGAACACCAATTTATTTTTATTGGCGTTTTAAATAATATTTTATTTCTGTCAATAACGGCATTATTCAATATGATTATTTGAAAGCTGTGAAAATTTAACAAAGTAAGAGTAAACAATCCAAACTGTTAAAACTTTCTCGCATACAGATCCATTCAGTAGCGTAGCGAGGGGGGGGGGGGCGGGGGGGGGGACATATGTCCCCGGGCGCCGACCTTAGGGGGGGCGCCAAATTGAAAGATTGAGGGGGGGGGTGCAAATGAAAAGTTCGAGGGGGGTGCAAATCGAAAATTTCCTCTCGAGGGGGCGCCAAATTGGAAGTATGTCCCCGGGCGCCGGGAAGGGTCGCTACGCCTCTGGATCCATTTAACAAATAGCAAATAATTCCCGCATTGACTTCTTTGGGTTACTTGTCATAGATCCTAAATACAGATCCTTTAGTGATTTGGTAAAATTGTAATCCATACTTGTATGAATTCTTTTCAGAAATTAACGCATCCAACTATACGAAAGATCCTTGTTTTCCATATAAAGAAACAGAGAGCGAAAATGGCGTTTGTTATAAGAAGTTTATTATGCAAACGAAATGGATTAAAGCTAATGTAAATAAAAAGTAGTTTAATCATTTTTAAAAAGGTTAAATCGTTAAATTATTTTAAAACATCATTACAATTGTATACATATTATGGCTTTGAAATATGCCATAAAACTAGATTAGCCATTTGGCGAGCAGGAGTTATAAATGTGCCCATTTACCAGCTGTACATAATATTTTATTTTTAGAAAAAAAAACTAAATGAAATTGAATTTTCTATACACAATGGGTAAAAATTAGTATGCCTATCTTTTAAAATGTAAATGTTCCTTTTATAAACTTTCACTAAATTGGTCTATACAGTCAGATTGTGTTGAAAACGAGCCTGAACTGAAATTAGAATCGGAGTTAACCAATAATGAAAGAAAGCAGTCGGAGAGTATTGTAAATCAAAGATATGACACATGTAAGATATTTACTCAGAACCCAATTTAATGTGTTCAGTTGTTTTCATCTCCATCCGTGTTATGTATTTTTTAGTATGACCCCAATACCATTTTCGATTGCCTATCTCTTTAAGCTAATTTAGGTCATCAATTGGTTATAACGTCCTTGTCTTACTATATATGACTATTTTTCGTCTTATTATATTGATATATGTGTGTGTGTTTGTGTGTATGTGATTGTATGCATTATTTGCTATTGTGTGTTAAGTAAAAAAAAACACAGACAATACGATTTATTTTAAGTATAATTAACATTTAAAAAAAATAAAAGATGTAGGCACAATCTGTTTATTTAATCTATACTTAAAGATAGTTGTAAAGACGGCTTCAGATACCACGTGGAATCAAACACATGTCTACAATTGTTTACAACCGAGAAAACCTATTATGAAGCCGAGAGATATTGCCAGTCGTTATCAACTTGGGATTTCAGAAAAAAAGACAAAGGGAGAATGGTAGAAGTGCTGAACAGGAACATGGATTCTTTCATAAAAAGTAATGGATATGCTATATGCATAATGTGACATTTTCAAATATTGACAGAACTTTCGATCATTGGTAAATAGAAATACGTACTTGTTTACTCTAGCGGGTTTTCGAGGAAATTCACTATACGCATATTTTCATACGGTTTAGAGGTTAAAAGCGACTGATATTATATATAAATAGCCTGCAGAAATATATTTATGTATAAAGATATATATATATATATATATATATATATTTATATATATATATATATATATATCAGTAGCGTAGCGAGGGGGGGGGGTGGGGGGGGGGACAAATGGGTTTGAAAAATAAATTGAGAGGTTGAGGGGTATAAATTGAAAGTTTGAAAGGGGGGGGGGGTGCAAATAGAAAGTTTAAGGGGAGGGGGGGGGGGGTGCAAATCGAAATCTTGAGGGGGGTGCAAATCGAAAAGTTTGTCCCCGGGCGACGGGAAGGGTCTCTACTCCTCTGATATATATATATATATATATATATATATATATATATATATATATATATATATATATATATATATATATATATATATATATATATATATATATATATATATATATATATATTATAACACAGTATACTTTGTTTATCAAATCAGGCTACGTTGTATCTTCTCAAATGATAGGATTCATTGGTTTGTATCGTAACATTTCTGAGTCATTCATTTTGGCTGACACACTGAAGGTATTATCATCTTTTTTTAAAGGATTTTGCCTTATAATTATGTTATGATTCTCCAGTGTATACCCTTATAATATGAGGTGTATATATATATATATATATATATATATATATATATATATATATATATATATATATATATATATATATATATAATTATATACATGTATATATATGTATTATGTATATATATATATAGGCCTATATATATATATATATATATATATATATATATATATATATATATATATATATATATATATATATATATACATATATATATATATATATATTAACCATAGTGAGTGTTCTTGTACACAGAAAGCTGTATACTTTGGATGGAGTCAAACTCCTACGGCCGTCAAAAAAACGGTTGCAGTTAACAAAGAAGGGTGGGAAACATTCAGCCCACGTGATAAGCTGTTGTTTATTTGTCAGAAAAAATACGGTGAGTAATATTTAAAAATATTTCTGTTTTAGGTTCTACTCGACGACTCAGTGTCCAGTTTGGTCTGTCGCCAACACTGCATCAACACAAACCAATACGTCCTTACAGCCACATTATTCTTATAAAAGCCTTTTGACTTCAAATGAATTCACGTTTATAGACTCGAACCATCGCCCACTTCGATAGGGGCATTCATGTTTGACGTTAGCATGCAAAGCTGGCGTTTAGGGGGGGGGGGGGGGGGCCAAACTGAGAGGTCGCCCCAGGCCCGCTCTCGAAAGGGCCCCGCGCTTTAGAACCGTCATTGTTGTCTGAATTCGTTGGTAAACTTAAATAATATATGCTGAATTAAATTGGATAAAACTAAAAGATTTTCGTTGAAGTGATCGGATATGTACATATCTTGGTATAACAAAACACTTGGCTTGCAGAGGAGAGGAGGGGGGGGGGGCGGATGGGGACATGCTCCAGGCATCCAGAGTATTTTGCCCTATAATCATAATTTATACACTTTAGGGACATCTTTTGTCTAATTATGCTTATTCACTACGATACTTTTGAAAGGCATCCATTCAGTAATTATGTTCATATTCATTTTGTATAATGTCAGGTCATTTTTAAATCAATTATATTTGTATTTGTATATTTATTTTTGAAGGGCATTTATACAGTAATTATGTCCATATTCATTTTGTAAAGTTTAACGGTATTCGTAGAGTGATTAAGCACATGTTAATTAATTGTAGGGATATTCAGTATAATAGTAAAGACCATAGTGATATTTGTTTTAAAATAGTGTAGGGATACCAAACAAAGTATTAAGTCTATACTGTTTAATACATCGGGCCGAGATCGCTTTATTGTAAAGTTCTCCTGTTTTCTCAAACGTCTAAATTACCGACAGACCAAGCATGCCGTCGCGAAACTCATAAATAAGGTGAAGCTGGCTGTCACATGGTTCACTTTCAAATTAGTGACACAAACCTTATCTTGTGAGACCGCGGTCTTGAACGGTTATATAATACGTGGGCGTAATACGTGGACGCCATATAAACACGCACTTGCTCTTAAATGGCTGAGGTTAGCCATTCACCGTATTGTGAAACAAGGAGTGAGCCAATGTCGTTATCTTGGAGAAACACGGGACAAATTTACGCCAAGCTTACGACAGGATACAGAAAAGATTACAATGATTGATGTAATCACTGCAGAAATTTTAGTAAAATATGCTTGTTAAACTTAATATGTTAACCAAAATAAGTTATATTTTAACTTCATGCTCTAGTTTAAACATAGAGGTAATAACAATCTACGTTGCATGTGTTAAACTTTTGGTTAAACTTCTAAAAATTTTCTGAGCTACTGACGGTTCCTCTCGCCAATTGTCCCTTTATTGAAATTCCTTCACATTCCTTCCTTTTTTTCGCAAGCCAGCATCCCGGTCTATCGCCATTTTTCTTAATAAGAGACCTTTTATCCAGTCACAGTAAAACAGGCAGGCACATTCAGCCATTTTTGTTCTATAGTGAGAAGATGTATAACTTTGTTTATGCAGAAACTGGAAAACTGGTATTTCTTTGTTGAAAACTTTATATGTGATTAAATAGAAGGTAGTTTATTTGAAGTAATGAGCATATGTTCTGTTTATTTTGGCAATATGCAACAATTTTACAATAATTTAAATGATAGTTTTAGAATCTAGATCTAGATTATTCTAGATATATGTTTTCAAAGAAAGAACTTTCTAAACTAAATTTCATCTAAAGTTCTGATTATCTTATTTAATCTAATATTAATTTCTTAAGCAGTAAGCTTTGTGAAGTTTCTCATAGTTGAAGACTCAGAAATGGTAATTTTAGGCTAATTTTTAAAATTTTGATACTAGTCAACTAGATTCTAATGCTAAATCACTAAAAATCGTAATCAGAAGCCTGTTAATTTTGACAGTGTATTTTGTGTAAAGTATGCAAGTTTGTTTTTGATGATATTGATATATGTATTTATTGTTTTTTCAACTTTAGGTATAATTATCAAGAACGAGGGTAGGGGCTTAAATATTTATAAATTAATAAATAATCATTCACTTAAAAAAACCGCTTAATTTTATTGTAATAAGGTGTTGAAAATGTCTTTAATATTAATTCTGAGAGAGAGAAGAGAGAGAGAGAGAGAGAGAGAGAGAGAGAGAGAGAGGGGGGGGAACAGTATACGCAATTATAGAATGACACTGAATTAAAAAAAAATGTTTACATGTTAACTAACACCGCATTTTGATATGTATTATTTTAAAAAAAATTATGCAACTAGAAATTAAAATAGATTCAAGATTGTCATTCAAATTTATATTGCTGTTACAGCTTCCTATGAGAGAATGAGATGTAAATAGTAGTGTGGAGACCTCAGAGCAAGACATAATTTCACGACCAACAGCGTTAAGATGGTACTATTAGTAAGCCCTACTTATTGATCAACACCACTCACATATTCACATCCATAGGCTCACCTAACTTTGATTTAAGACTATGAACATAAAATAAAAAGGTGGCTATATATAGCGCTGACTACACAAATCCTTTATTTTCAAAGATCAAATAAACAGAGACACTGTACATAACCTGCCCTATAGGCCACACCCCAGAGAGAGAATTGCCATTTTTAGACATTCTTATGATGAACACGTTTAATAAAACAATGGTATCATTTTTTTAGTTTTGTGTAGGATTAAGCTTGGTTTTTATGTATCATTGTTCATAATTAGTACCTAAATCTTAAAAGTCTTAAAATGGAGTATCTAATCTGTCAATCATATTTTGTATTACTCATGCATTTTATTATAATATTCAATAACTAAGAATGCCATTTATTTTCAGGTCTCCAGGTGCTGTGTGTATCAATCAGCCCACTGTATCAATCTTTTAATAAATTATAAGGTCCCCACTGCTTGATACTTCACCAAATACTGGCTACACAAGAAAATTACTAAATGTTCTTAACACTTGATATCTGTAAGTTTACATTGTTTCAAAGTGAATAATAATATTAATTTAGAAGTTTTTTCTTGCATTTACTGATCAGTATTTGTAGTTAATGCCATAACTAATAGGTGTAAAAAAATATTAAGCCCACAAGCATTACTTCTGGGTCACTTTGAAGGGACCAAGTCGTTCAATTATTGAAATGATAAAGTTGGTGAAATTGCTCAAAAGTTGTCTGGAAATTGGAACCTTCTTAACTCAGAGGCAAAAGGCAAGGGGTTAATATACATACTATATTTTTTTTATTAAAACGTCTTTATTTTTCACTTTTGTTTATAAAAATATACGTATATGACACAGGAAACTATATATATATATATATATATATATATATATATATATATATATATATATATATATATATATATATATATATATATATGCAGTATTCGTGTATGCAGTATTGTAAAGGATCCTGTTTGGTGCAAAGAACTGCAGTTCTACTAGTAAAATCATATATGGCCAATTTTTATTATTTACCTGGGTAGCCTGAACACTCTAGACCACCAGTCTTTATACCTATATAATCTATCGCTCTAAGGTAGCAAACATGATATTAGGGGCTTATTGTGGTATGTTTAGTGCAATGCAAAGTAAAATAAACAACAAATTTATTTTAAAATAAACCGGGAGTGATCCCCCCTAAACTTTCTAGAATATTCTTATATAAAACAACAGGGGATGGGAACTCGGGCTACAGACATGATTTTTAATCCATTTTAAATACTTAAAGATTTAAAAATAGAATAAAATCTCGTAGACAAAAGCATTGCACACCAAGTGAACGCCAAATAAAAAAGTGCATAATAGTGCGCAATATTATTAGTACTTTAAGAATTTACATTAGTTTTTTGAGAAATCGGAAGTAGCGTAAATTACTACTTCCGGTCAATGGAAATTACTCAAAATTTAACAGAAGGTAGAAAATTAGATCTTTTACTTGCATGTGAGAATACTAGAATTGAAAACGACGACGAAGAAGAAAGAAGATTAATGCAACGGTTCGGAAATTGATATTGGTGTTTTGTATATGCATTTATAGTGCAAACAGTATCAATAATAAAGGGTGTTTCGATATTCTAAGACTGGTGCAACTTTTCAATATATCAGTGTTTTAGTAGTATAAATATAAATAGATACACACGTTTTAAATCTAAAACATTTAAAATCTTTATTGCTTATATTTCGCATCTATAAGGAGCTGTAGTTTTCGCATAAGTTTTTTTTTTTGCTTTAATTTGTATGCTTTTTTTGTAACGAAAGCCTATGCTTCTATAAAAATGTACCTATGTACTATATAATATCTTAAATGTTAAGAAAAGATTATGAATATTCACATCCAAAATAGGAAACAGGGGATACGATTATTAATAAATTGCATGCGAAATTGAACTTTAAAAAAAGTATTTTAATATTTTTAAACACCAAAAAGAAGGTGATACAATATTTTCTCATTCTACTTAGAACAACCTGATCTTCCTTTCCTCATCATTATACCCATGAGTTCTGTGTGTGGTGCTTGTATTTTGATAGTTTTGATAACATTCCTCTGCAAATTTACTAGGAAAAAGAAAGGTAATTGTTTTGGCAGCTTTATTATAGCAAAGTAAATGTAATATTATTTATTTTGTCAATTATATATACTTATAAATAAGTCAAATAGACACCTACAAATACACAAATACACTCACTCAGATTCAGGGACACACACACATCCCCCCCCCCCCTCTCTCTCTCTCTCTCTCTCTCTCTCTCTCTATATATATATATATATATATATATATATATATATATAATGTTTTAACAAGTGAATCAATTCTACAGCTCAGAAAACAGCAAACCACAGTTTGAATGCGTAAGTTTCCAAATGTAACATATGTACAAAAACTATTCACTTAGTTTATTTTTTGTCTCTCACTCTCTCTTTCTTTAAACATATATATATATATATATATATATATATATATATATATATATATATATATATATATATAAATAAGTGAATGTTGCATTATAGACAAGTATTCGAGGAAACTAAAGAATCAGCTGTGTCGCTTGCTTTTAACGGCAAGTATTTTAGTATTTATTTTCACATTCCATTCTTAACACCAGGTGTAGTTTATTGTGAATGTCGACTTTTTAATACAACTAACCTTTTCTTTAACTTTGATGAGGGCTTTATTTTGATCTACCTTTATATTTAATCAGCCAATGAATACTCGACTGATGGTTCACTTTATACGACAATCGATGATGAAGCTGTTTCACTAGATCCGCCTAATATGATAAAAGAGCTAGCCACTAACAAACTAACAAACAAACCATGTGACAAAGCGAACACACAACAACCTGTCTATGAAGCGCCTCTTGTTGCCTCCACACTGGAAGACAGTTTGTATCTACGGCCAGTTTTCTTCAATGTTTCAGCCAACGCAATCTACTCTGATCATGTGTACGCGAATTTTTCAACACTTAAAAGATCACAAAGACATTAATTAAGCCGTGATACGTATACCAAAATGTAGCTTCTTAAAATTAACGTATTTTAGACAACTTTATTTCAGTTACCTTTGACATTTTATTACTGCTTAATTGTGCTTTTTTTATTATAATGCAATAATATTTGCGTATATAGACTAGCTTCAATTAACCACTACACTGGTTTAATTTGCACTACCTAAATGTTTAGTATTTTCATGTAAGTTATATTAAATGTTGATTTAATTATGGTTTTTGGCTTATAAGATTGCTCAAACTGTGTTTACCTATAACTATCAAACAGATAACAACTTACTCAACCGTATATAACACTACAGAGTGCATACAGTTGGGGACTGAGTATAGACTACATACTTTTGGGGACTGGGTATAGAGTATAGAGTTTATAAATTTACATATTTTTGGGGACTTAGTCATTGGGGGCTACATGTCTGGTACTGTTAACAAAGGAGGCAAGTGGCCTAAGTTGACAATTATATGGGCTCTGGTGGCGTATTGCATTCATTTCTTTATGTAGTAAAGATGCATGGACTGCCTTTTCTCTTGTTAGTCGGAGAAATGAAAAGACAAGTATTACGTTAAAAGTCTTTGAGAAATATTGTAAGTGATGTTAGATGAAGGGCTGTGATTTGTATGGATCATTTTTATTGTGGACAAATTGTACCATTTGATTCAGTGATTCACGTCAAATGGACTGCATTCCTTAAATTATACTGCTCCACTCGGAGAGATGTCTGAAAGAAAATGTAGGAGCTAAAACAAGTAATATATGCGAACCTTTGCGTACCGGTAAATTAGAAACGACGAGTGACGTTTATTGATAATATGAATCTAGAAACCAAGATTTTAAAAAAAAGCAAGTCGTTGACAAAAGCAGACCGATTTTAAGATTTTTTTGAATCAATCATATATCAGGTTACATTGGGCACTTGCATACATTCAGACACCGATATCAAATCGAAAATTTGAGGGGGGGGGTGTAAATCGAAAGTTTGAGGGGGGGGGGGGGGGTGTGCAAATCGAAAATTTGTCCCCTGGTAAAAATTGGAACCCCCCCCCCCTTGAGACGATGCTGGCTACGCCACTGCTCGGGTTAGGGACAGTAGTTGCAACTGGGCATAGTACTGACCACACTATCAGTACATAAATCGAGCTAATTGAAAAGGTGAACTGTACTTTCCCAAGGACCGTCGAAATGGTTCTTTACATATATATATATATATATATATATATATATATATATATATATATATATATATATATATATATATATATATATATATATATATATAAATTAATAAGGATAATTGATGTGAGCTTTTAACTTTTGAGTCATAAAATTCAACATTTTTTATCCAAAGTGTTAATAACTAAGTCAAACTTTAAACATATTTATTGATGATTTAAAAGAAATCGTTGTCCGTTTCAATTGAACCCCCATCCCCCTCAACAGAAAACCCAAACCCATTTCCCGGACGAAATAGAATAAATTATAAACATAAAATACATACTTAAACATTATAATGGCCACTTTCTTCTTGTGTCAGCAGGGTAGTAGAGGTAGAGCGTACGTATGTCTGATGTGCTGCAAAAGATTTTACCTAGGTCCCTCAACATTATTAAATATATTTTTCAATGTTGAATATCAGTGTTCAATATGTTAGGTATTAACTAATGCAATAGGTTATTTTTTTAGATTGTGAAATTTCTAAACGCAAGTTGAGAGAGTTAAGCCTGGTGTTCGTTTTAGTTTGATTTAAATAAGTCAGAAAGGGAGATAATTAATTTATAATACTGATTTTTATCTTTGCCTCCCTTAATTATTTTAGGTTTTTAAAAATAGACGGGAGAAGGTACTTCAAGTTTAGCCTTTATTTATAACTATCCAATCAATATAAAAAACATACATGCGATGGTGGGGATGGGGGCAAAATGGGAAGGGGGAAAGGAGAGTAGGAGAAAGATACTTCTTGTACATTTTCAAAAGTCTAACTGAAAAGCAATAAATAAAAAGCCAACAGACAACTGAACACTTGATATTACTTCACTTTAAGTTTAATCGATTATCTATAAATTAGCTAATCTAATGTTCATTTTCTTACTCACGCAAACACAACACACGCACACACAAACATACACACACGCATATATATATATATATATATATATATATATATATATATATATATATATATATATATATATATATATATATATATATATATATATATATATATATATATATATATGGGTTCCATGACAAATGATCCCAGGACAAATGATCTCAGACAAAATATCTCAGACAAAATATCTCACGGACAAATGATCTCAGGACAAATGATCTCAGGACAAATGATCTCAAGGACAAATGATCTCACGGACAAAAGATACCAGGACAAAATATATCAGGACAAATGATACCATGGACAATTGATCTCAGACAAAATATCTCAGACAAAATATCTCACAGCGAATTTTTAATAGTATTTACGATGATTTTAGTTGAACTTTTTTTATTGACTGTTAATATGGTTTTGTTTACTTTTTTAGGTATAATAATTGTGAATAAAATGAATTAGTGAAACCTAACAAACCATCAAAAGGTGTATTAAGCAGTTGTAGTAGCATTTGATTTGAAAAAGTAAAAATTAAAACAAACTTACTCTTTTAGCCTGAAAGGTATAATAAATGATAATGTATAAAACAAATAAAGTAACGGTAGCTATACAACATTAATGTTCATATCACGCGAAATATCTTTCAAAAATGTGAATGGGTCTTTAGGTTCGTAACGTTAAACTATTGTTTTTATTACGTCATCAACACAAACATAACGTGTAAGTTTTTTTTCTGGTAGGTACATCGTTATGATCACACGTCTCTAATACTATGTGATCATCTATTATGTGAACTCTTGCTCGACATTTCCTAATTTCACATTTCCAAATCTCTTTGCCTGTTTATGGCAAACATAAATTCACCAGAAACTAATGTCCTAAGACCTTTCAGCGAGATAACGTAAGAGACCATAGCAAAGCAATCACCATTAATACTGCTTTGTTTGATGCACACTACGACATACTTAGCTCCGCGATGACCGCTGTCATTTAAATAAGCATTAGTCACCTGATCACTAAGGTGTGACCGACGCATAACAATGGACGTTATATGCTAGTCGTATTGTCCATGGAGGGCGGATGTCTTTCCCTTAAGGCATGTCTCTACCATCAAAGCCACCTTGATGCAAAGGTGTGTCCTTATTGTTATTCCATCCTCTTTGATCTAGTTTCGTCCACCTGACGTGGTAGGATTGTCTCATGTTTGGCAAGCTCACCTACGCTGTCTTTCGAAATTATTTCTTTAATCTTGGTATACTATATTGGTAATCCTAATTTTAAAATGTTTAATGCAGTATGACAAATTTATACGCCAAACATTTCTTACAATTATTATATAGGCCTATAAACAATATTAAAAATAGTAAACAAAACTCTAAGACAGTCAACAACAAAAATTCAGATCAATTAAAATCATCCAATACACTAATACAATTTAGCTGTGAGATATTTTGTCTGAGATATTTTGTCTGAGATCAATTGTCCATGGTATCATTTGTCCTGATATATTTTGTCCTGGTATCTTTTGTCCGTGAGATCATTTGTCCTTGAGATCATTTGTCCTGAGATCATTTGTCCTGAGATCATTTGTCCGTGAGATATTTTGTCTGAGATATTTTGTCTGAGATCATTTGTCTTGAGATCATTTGTCCTGTCACCATATATATGTATATATATATATATATATGGATTTCAAAAAGATGACGTTCTCGGTAGTGATTTTGCCTGTAGGTCAAGATCAGACGAGTGTATTTCAAGATATATATATCTGGATATATATATATATATATATATATATATATATATATATATATATATATTTATTTATTTATTTATTTATTTATTTATTTATTTATTTATATATCAGTCGAGAGTTTAACAAGGTAAAGATTAGTTACCCATATTGATTGACGACCTGAAACTCCCAGCATTCACCACGGCCATCCCCGCGTCGCTCCAGCTGGTGTTGCTCTTACGTAGGTTGTGGTAGACAATGGCGTCGGTCAACAGGTTACCTGAGGGGGGGGGGGGGGGCAGAAGAGAGGTTGGGTAAAGGTATAAACAAAATTGGGTACAACGGTTAACTCTAGGCACAGGTGTGTACACAGTCAATTTAAGCGACAGGTACAAACTCAAGTAGGTGCACAATTCACACATTCCAATTTAGGAGCAGGTACAAGCACATGTGTGTATAAAAAGTCACTTTTAGGGATATTTACAAATAAATAATGTACAAAAGCCGACTTTTGTAAGTTTTAACAATACAAGTAAAGTGAAAAGCTTGCTCAGTTATTAAGTAACTTTGAGCATTAGAGCTTGATTTAAAAAGGAACAAACAATATTAAAACCTTTATATAATATATAGCCTTTACTTATGGAAGATAAATAAATTTGGTAAAAATGAATACATTTTTTTTGCGTCCCGGAGAAAATTAACATTTTATTTTACTTGTCACTTGTACAAACAACAAAAAAATGAAGCTACCCAAGTTGCACTCCCTTGTTCTGCAGACTATCCTATCAGCTAACAAACTGACGTAGGTCTCGCCAATGACATTATTCTTTATCTGGTCGATCTGTGGCAGATAGCTGTCTACTAACGCGGCTGTCTCATTATCTGCACAGATAAGCAAACCGCACAAATAGAGGTAAAGGCAAAGTTCCATGATGATAAACTGGTTGTATTTTGAGAAAGTATGGTGTTAATACTACAAGCCAAACATGCAATTTGAGTACATCTCTTTTAAAGAAAGATGAACTATACTTCTCTAGCCTCATGGATGGTCGGGTTCGGAAAGGGAACTTTATGATTTTTATTCGTTAAAAGACGCTAGAAAACATCAATTTTAATTTTGTTATTACAAATTTAACTTTTTAGTGTATATGTGTGTGTTTACACTTGTATATATATTTCTACATTTATGGATGTTTGCATATATATATATATATATATATATATATATATATATATATATATATATATATATAGTGAGAGAGAGAGAGAGAGAGAAAGAGAGAGAGAGAGAGACAGACAGAGAGAGAGACAGAAAGAAAAACAATATAGATCGAGATAGAGAACTAGTTGAACGTTACTCACCTTTCTGGACTGAGTTATCCAACAAAATGGGATTTCCCGTCCATGATTTGACTTGCCCAGCATCATCAAAGACCACATTTAGCTCCCCTAGATATTTGCCGTAAGCGTAATCCTGTACAACAAGTACCCCCCCCCCCTTGGTCGACTCTACCACCGTCGGGTACTTCCCTTCAATCTTCTCCGTGGAGGGGCTGGTACCTGAAACACATTGGGCAATGACTCAACGGTGTACTAAAAAGGGGGGGTTGGAATGACGTGGTCTAAGTTGTATACATGACCTAAATGTCTAAAATGTTTAAATTAATATAAAACAAAGTAGCTTTGTTTAAATTAAAAGCCAACACAATATGCTATGTCTGTATAGCGTTAGTGTAAGGATGTTCGTTACGGTCAAGATTTAGATAAGATTCAAAGTTAAAACTCATGTATGGATCTAACATCAGGGCGATTTTATCAATATAAAATGTATTGGGACGTATTGTACTTTGCTTTCTTTTTACTCCTTTAAAACCAGCTTGATTTAAAATCCTATTGCGTAGATATGTGTTGATAGTACTTGTTGTCGTTGTTGTTATTGAATTTACCGTTATTTTTTTTTTACTGTTGATTGTTTTATCCATTGTATAAGAACGTGTAAGTTGGTATTAGTGTACCGTTGTATAAGAAAGTGTGTGTTGCTTTGAGTTTACCGTCGTACAAGAAATTTTTGGTTGTTTTGAGTTTACCGTTGTATAAGCAATTGTTGGTTGTTTTGAGTGTACAATCGTATAAGAAAGTGTTGGTTGTTGTGAATGTACCGTTGTATAAGAAAGTTTTACGTGTATTGGTGTTATCAACGGCTGTTCTCTTCTGATGACATCGATATCATAAGGCAAAAAGTGACGTATTCTAATTGGAACTGATCCATCAGTCGATTGCTGGACCGTTATTCTTACTTTGTGGTCATTGAACCCTATTTTCACGCCACTGAATACGTACCCATGTACTGTGAAACTCTCTAAAATACACCAACATATGAGCTATGGCTCTATAACCTAAACCAGGGGTCTCCAAACTACGGCCCGCGGGCCGGATGCGGCCCGCGAGGTCCTCTCATCCGGCCCGCGGAGATCTTTTTGTCCACGGAAAAAACGTTTGTTAATGATGGCTGACGAACTTTGCTCAGAAAAATCACGACATGCCTGGAAGGAACTGGCCCCCGAACTGAAATTCGATAGTTAATGCGGCCCTCGGACTGAAAAGTTTGGAGACCCCTGACCTAAACGATCAGTAGATATGGCGAGAGTGTAAAGCTATCGAGGCTACATTATTTATAACATGATATTCTGCTAGGCAGCCATTATTTATATTATGATAATCTACTAGGCACCAATATTTATAAAATGATACTCTACTAGCCAGCCATTCTTTATAACATAACTTTTGCTTGTGGATAATCAGGAGTTCTAGTTCATACATCACAACATAAGTGTGACTGTAGACTAAACAGCTTTTATTTTACAGAACTTAACAGGCGGTTAGGTAAGACAGATATTGTTGAGCGAAATGTCATGTGGAACAAAACCAATAGAGAGAATATTCGATCATGAGTTTTTTTTTTATTTCTAAGTAAAAATTAGCAGGACGCAAAACACACACACACGCTCTAAAGCACACACAACACACACGCAACACACACAGAAGAACAGGCAGGCAAGTGAACGGGAGACAGAAAAACTCAATAGCAGACGGACGAAGAAACACAGGGCCCTAACAATAAGACAAGACCGACCCTGAGGTAAAAAAAACGAGCATGATAATATTTATAACATAAAAGAAAACGTTCAGTGATTTATTTTAATGTCCATCAGTGGCGTCTAATCTCATCATCTTGCTCAGAAACTTGAGTCGCTTCACTCTAACAGACAAAATCGAGACCAGCTGCTGTAAATCAGAAAAATAAAAGTTAGTCTACCTACTGTAAGACAGAAAAACATAACATATGACCAGCTGCTGTAAAAGAAAAGAAAGTTAGGTCAGCTACTGTAAAACAGAAAAATAAAAGTGAGTCTACCAACTGTAAAATAGAAAAAAGCTTGTTATTAAAACGTTTTTTATTAAATGTTTTTTTTAGTACTTTACATGTTTTTATTTACAATAGAGTTTTATGACTAAAAACCATTGCGCGCTTATTGAACGTGATGACGCGCTATTGAACGTGATGACGCGTGGTGTGGTTGGATAGAAATGCCTGCTAATTTGGGTCAAAATTTTAATTAATACATAAAAAATTAATTAGTCATCCAATTCAGTCAAATTTGCATCGTCTTCATGTCTTGACACACGTACCGGCGTTTCGATCTAGACTGACGACAGAAAGACAGAGGATGTGAGTTAAACAAAAGCTTGTAAAAACGTAACATGAGACCAGTTACTGTTAAACAGATAAAAAAGATAGGTCAGCTAGTTACTTTAAAACAGAAAGAAGTTAGACCAGCTGCTTTGAAACAGAAAAAAAAGTTAAGTAAGACCAGCTACGGTTAAAGAGAAAATAAACCGGGAGTGATCTCCCCTAAACTTTCTCAAATATTCTTATATAACTTGGAATATAGACATGATTTTTAATTACTTAAACTTTTAAAAATAGAATAGAATCTCATAGAAAAAAGAATTGCGCACCAAGCGAACGCCAAAACAAAATGTGCATAATAGTGCGCAATATTATTAGTACTTTATAAATTTACATGCGTTTTTTTGAGAAATCGGAAATAGCATGAATTAGTACTTCCGGTCAACGGAAATTACTCAAAATTTGATAGAAGGTAGAGAATTAGATCTTTTATTTACATGTGAAATTTTGTTTATCTTTCTGAAATAGCCCTCAAGTTATAGGCTTTTGAATAATTCAAAGTAGAAAACGTACCACTTCCGGTTATCGGAAATCGCTCAAAAGTTGATACGGATCTCTGGAGCCCCCGATTACACTACCGCGTACGGACATGGCTACTTAAACGTAACGTAGGCGTCGACGGACACGCCTGATTCAACGTAGTGAACATCTATAACACCCCATCGTATCCATAGTCCATGGCACTGTTTAAAACGACCATAGGCGTCATAGCGCCCACGAGATAACTCGAGTTGCCCAATTGCACTCTGCTGAAGCGCCGCCCGTGCGGAATTGAAAATTATTTTTTCACAGAAACTTCCCCAGGAGTATTCTCAGTAACGTACCGTATATCTATGGCAAACTAATGAAAGGTGTAACAAGGCATAAAAGACAAATGAATTCTGATAAAATATACTATGAGGTTTTCATCAATGCTTTACCAATACCATATTCGTAGACGCGTGACATTGTTTTCTAAAACTGAGTTATTTAAATGTAAACAATACCTGCGCTCATGGGAAAGACCGGGACACCAAATCGCACACTGCCAGGGACCGACCGCGCGAAATTAAATTTTTGTCGTCCTAGAAACCTTCTTGGAATTATTCTCATCATCTCCCTAAAGTTTCATGGCACTCGGATGACGGACCGACCGCGCGAAATTAAATTTTTGTCGTCCTAGAAACCTTCTTGGAATTATTCTCATCATCTCCCTAAAGTTTCATGGCACTCGGATGACCGTGGCGAACAACATCCTACTTTTTTTTATACATAGAGAAAAATTTCACCCTCCCGGGGCGGCGCCCTTTCGAAATTAAAACTTTTTTTTAACAGAAACCTCCCTTGGAGTGTTCATGTCAACTACACAAAGTTTGA